ATTGAGTCTTTCTCACAAACTCTGATTTTTTAATCCCTATATCTTTAGAACCCAATTTCGTAAACCTTAGATATTTCAAACTATGAATTGTGTTAGTTCAAGTGATCTTAGTTTGAAATATGAAAGATTTACAATATTAGATTGGCAAGATTGGAAAATTTGAGTTTGTGACAAAAACTCAATTCCTTTGTTTTGCCTAATTAACCCAACCTGAACCAAAATACTAAGAACCTGTAATGAAAGGTTTTTGGTTTAAAAGGGACTATACGTGAAATTTTAAGTGACCCTCCATGGAAAAATGTCAATGCCCGATGTTCAACTGTACCCTTGAAACCTTTATCTGACCAAGTATGTATTAAATATCAATGTTTTTTAATTCTTTAAACTGATTATTTTCATTTGTGGTTTCTCTGGGAAAGTGACTTGTGCATTTCTTGTTTGTAAAAAACAATGCAAGAAACTCACAGAAATAAACACTTTTCGAGTCAGATTAAGGTTTTGATGGTTCCGTTGTAAACCGTTGCCATATTTTCATGCAGGGTCACATTAAAATGAAATTGCACTTACAGACCCTTTAAACTAAAAACACATTTCATAAAGATTGGGTTAGACATAAACACGTATAGATTCTTTAACGGAAGTGAACTAAACAAAAGGGGAAGGTCAAATTATACACATTACTGGTCCGATTTTATAACCTCGTAGCTCTTCTAGTTTTGATTTATCATAAAATGTGTTCAGAGACGTCCTGAGATGGATACTAATGGTTTCTACGGGGATACTTTTTCCAGTGGATTTGGAGATTTCTATACAGCTAAAAGGTATTTAATAAAGGAATTGAATCTTTGCCAAAAATTCTGATTTTCTAATCCCTATATCTTTGCAACCAAATGTATAATATATATTCTAAGTTGTAATATCAAAGGTTTATGCCATCAGGTTGCACAAATAGGGATTAAAATATTTGAATTTGTGGCAAAGACTCAATTCCTTTCAAAACGAAATTTTGCTTACTTTTAAAATGCTTCATATTTTTATTTCCGATTTTAATTGAGGGGACTGTAAGCATAATTTCAACGAATTCTCCATGGAAAGAAGGCAATGCTGCAGATTTACAACAGTACCCTTGAAACCTTTTTCTATTCAATAATATAGAAAATCAAACTTTTTTTAAAGGTTCTTAATTCTGATAATTGATTTGTTTTCCTGAAGTAGAAATGAGCAAGTCATTTTTGTAAAGAACACACAAATAAACATGAATATCTAAATCATACTTGATCAGAAAAGCTTGTAAGGGAACCGTTGTGAATCGGACATTTCCATCTTTGCATGGAAGGTCCCTTGAAATTACGTTCACAGTCCCTTTAAGGAAAGAACCTTAAGCGAGAAATCTTAATTTGTTAAAGTAAATTTGAAAAATGTAAAAATGAATGTTGTATAGTTTCAAAATTCTCCATAACAAAGGATTTGTGCAATTGTTCATTACCAATTTAAAAAAAATTACCAATAAAAGAATTTGTTTTTAAATGTTAATTAATTAATTAATTTAAAAAAGAAATATTCTGAATGCATAATGGTATTCCTCTTATAATCTAGTAATAAGAAAATAGTAACATCATTAGTTGGTAATTTCGGTTCATATTCACCAATTATTTCTAATAGATTATCTCTTCTTGTTATTTTCTTTAATATTATTTCTNGGGCATGTATGAAAATATTTATTCCAGTAATGCCCTTAATTTTCAGGGGAAAATATAAATTATAATTTACATGATAGTTTTGACGTAGAACCTGCCAAAAAGCATTTTCATCCACTCCTCTTTGATGCCTTTAATCTTTTTTATGATGAATATTCTTAAAAAAAAACTGCAACCAATTTGTTTCCAGGGCACAGGTGGCTGATGATTATCGCGGATTTTTAATATTGGTGGATTGTTTATTTTATAAGCTGTTTAAAAAGTCTCAAAAGTCTCCGCGGCGCTCAGCTTGCGTGGCTCATGGATGCTCTTTCAAGCTGTGTATCCTCTCCCACAGTCTATGCAGTACATTGAATAAAAAGAGATGCGGTAAGTATCCATTTCATCCAAATTTAGCTTGAAATCTATTCTAATGTATCTAGGAGAAAGCCTCACAACACAAAACTGTCTCTAATTCCATCAATGCAAGAATATTCAGAGCCATATCCTGCGCGGAATTCATTATAAAGAAACGCCCATAAAAAGAAATTTTGGTTAAAACTTTTTGTCAGTTTTAGAGAGATCTGGTCTCTAATACCATAATTCATCTATATATGTCATATATAATCATTGATCATGCAATCTTAATGTTTAAAAGGATTGTAAGCGTAGTTTCATGGGACCCAGCGTTTGTCGCGGGGCGTTAACGATTCACTACAATTTCCTTTTTTTTTCACTGATCAATGTTGTCTGATTTATCCTCATTATAAATAATTTAATCTACAGAGAAGCTTTCACGCGTCGAACACTTAGTTTTGAAGCTGATTTAAATTGAAAAAAAAACTTTTAATATTTACTTTTTAAACATGGTAGAAAATAAATGTCTTTCGAATTTTGAAACGTAATATATTAGCATTACTCAGTCCAAAAACTAGTGAGCGCTAATTTACCAATAATTAACTGAAGGGGGGTGGGGGTTCTCAGTCCACGTTGGGAGCTGAAAACCCACAGAAAGATTAAGGGGCCTGGTTTCATTACCCCCCCCCCCCCTCGAATAGGCCTCTGATCAAAGTTATGATAATTATAAACCAAGATTAACTAAAATCGAGAAGTGCAAATTGTTTATATCGGTTAGGTATAATTTCATTTAATGTTTAAATGTATATTCTATGTAGTATTCAGCGGCTGGTTATTCCAAAGCATTCTTCGCATTACCGTGGGCGGTTCAGAGGTTTAGCGGTTCAGAGGTTTAGCGGTACAGAGGGTTTAGAGGATATAAAATGTATATAAACCCCACGGAGGTGATACGAGAGAACTACTCTATTCTCTGTCCAGTCAAATGCAGAATCAAATCATTTATTTATTCTTTACAACAACTATAACATTTGAAAATAATGATTTACGAATTGTATCAAAACTTGAGTGAAGAAAAAATACTAAGATTCCAATAAAACAAATATTATTCACCTGGTTTTGATGCAAGAATAGTAATATTAAAGCCAAATTAAATTCTTAAAGATCTCATAAACTGTTCGCGCTTCTCATAAAATACTAAAGGAACCGAGTTTTTGCCACAAACTCTGATTTTCGAATACCTATAATTTTGCAACCCGATGTCGAAGACATTTCGTATTTCAAACTATGAATTCTGCTCAAATAATCTATGTTTTAAATATCAAAGTTTTACACCATAAGGTTAAAAAGATAAAAGGATTAGAAAATTTGAGCATTTGGCATAAACTCAGTTTCTTTATGAAGCAAATGCATTGAACTAAAAAAGTAAAAAATGGCAAAAAAAAAATATTTTTTAGAAAATTAGGACTTGAGAAGAGATTATTGGGTTTGTAAGCGTAAATTAAACTTACTCTCAAACTCGATGCAAAGATGGTAATTCTCGATTCACAACAGTACCCTTGGAATATATATTTTATCAAGTTTTCTAGTTTTAATAATATTTTATTCTAATTGTTTCTACATATGTATTGTCCTGCAGTTGAAATGCGCTAGCCGTAGTACATTTCAATTTCCGAGCCGGGTCAACTGTATCGGCCAGACATTGGGTTAATAAAGCAGACACTCAATAGGACTAGCCGGTGCAACAATGTTGACGCGGTCAGACTTTAGGTTGAATTTACTTTTACTAAAGGGTCAGAGGAGAGGAGCGTGGAAACGAAACAACTACATTATAATATCTTAATACTTGATCAGATAAAGCTTTAAAGGGAACTGTTGTGAATCGGGCATTGTCATCTTTGCATGGAGGGTAACTAAAAAATTTACGTATAGAACCTTTAAGATATATTTCCAAATGAAGTTTTCATTACTTTGTTCTGTCCAGCTTTTTCTTATTGTCTGTGTACAATCAGCTTCAATAGGTAGGTTTTTACTTATCATAAAACTAAATTATCTTTAAAAATTACTTAAAAATTAAAAACATTTTGGACCAAAACCTATGGAACTAATTATCAATATTTTTTAGGATAATGCATTTTCCAAAAATTAAAGGATCCAAATAGTGATATTGTACAGTGGTTGGCAACTATACCAATACAATGAAGACGACCTAGTAATAAGAGTGCTTTGATCCCTTGCCAGCATTTGTCAAATTTACAAGTTTCAGCAGAAAACTAAGGAAGCTTTTAATTGACAACTTCCATTTGTTTAAATGTTTAAGTGGTTCGATATGCTGTTTGGAAGCTTAATAGAAATCAAAATTAGAAAGTCGTCTTCATTGTATTGATATATTACGACGACGACTTTAGGTAAAGGTTTAGGTGAACCAGCATTTGGAACCAAGATTAAGCTTATCATGCAGAAACGAAGGCCGGAAATGGATGTTAACGGTACAATTTACATTTTACTTTATTCATTTCATAAACAGCTAAATAAAAAACAGAGCAAAATATTCATTTCATAAACAACTAAATAAAAACAGAGTAAAATTTTCATTTCATAAACAACTAAATAAAAAAACAGAGTAAAATATTCATTTCATAAACAGCCAGATAAAAAAACAGAGTAAAATATTCATTTCATAAACAACTAAATAAAAACAGAGTAAAATATTCATTTCATAAACAACTAAATAAAAACAGAGCAAAATATTCATTTCATAAACAACTAAATAAAAACAGAGCAAAATATTCATTTGATAAACAGCTAGATAAAAATAAACAGAGTAAAATATTCATTTCATAAACAACTAAATAAAAAAAACAGAGCAAAATATTCATTTCATAAACAACTAAATAAAAGTACAGAGTAAAATTTTTATTTCATAAACAGCTAGATAAAAACAGAGCAAAATATTCATTTCATAAACAACTAAATAAAAACAGAGCAAAATATTCATTTCATAAACAGCTAAATGAAAACACAGAGTAAAATATTCATTTCATAAACAACTAAATAAAAACAGAGTAAAATTTTCATTTCATAAACAACTAAATAAAAAAACAGAGTAAAATGTTCATTTCATAAACAACTAAATGTAAACATTGCAAAATTTTCTTTTCATAAACAGCTAGATAAAAAAACCGAGTAAAATATTCATTTCATAAACAACTAAGTAAAAACAGAGTAAAATATTCATTTCATAAACAAATTAATAAAAAACAGCGTAAAATATTCATTTCATGAACAACTAAATAAAAACAGAGTAAAATATTCATTTCATAAACAACTAAATAAAAACAGAGCTAAATATTCATTTCATAATCAACTAAGTAAAAAAACAGGGTAAAATATTCATTTCATAAACAACTAAATAAAAAAGAGCAAAATATTCATTTCATAAACAGCTAAATAAAAAAAACAGAGTAAAATATTCATTTCATAAACAAGTAAATAAAAACAGAGTAAAATTTTCAATTCATAAACATCCTAATAAAAAAACAGAGCAAAATATTCATTTCATAAACAACTAAATAAAAATAACAGAGCAAACTATTCATTTCATAAACAACTAAATAAAAAAACAGAGTAAAATATTCTTTTCATAAACAACTAAATAAAAAAACAGAGTAAAATATTCTTTTCATAAACAACTAAATCAAAAAACAGAGATAAACAACTAAATAAAAACAGAGTAAAATATTCATTTCATAAACAACTAAATAAAAAAATATAGTAAAATATTCATTTCATAAACAACTAAATAAAAAAATAGAGTAAAATATTTATTTTCACCCATTTTAATACTTTGATCATTAAGCCGCTTAACTTTAAATCTGGACGTTAAATCAGTTTCTTGACATAATATTATAGGTTTCTATGGGGATACATTCTCTGGAGGTTTCGGTGATTTCTACACTGCAAGGAAACGATCTCTTTTAGACAAAGATATTGGGATTGCTGTTCCAAGGGACATTAAGCTTTACTATGCAGCTGAGAAAGTCAAGGTAACCTTCTTATACAGGGTGTTCTAATAAACATGAGACGGATCAAAAATCGTCTTTGATTTCAATTTATTGATAAAGGATAAAGATCGTTTTGTTAGTTTAATAAAAAATGAAATCTGGAAATGATCCTCAATATCTCCGTTAAATTGAAAATGATAGACAATATTATGAATATCCCGAGGCAAGTAGTTTTCGGTTTAAAGGGACCGTTCTCGTATTTGGGTAATTCTGAACGAATAATCGGCTTTTTCTCCGGCCACAGTTGTCTTTGAAAAGTAAGACTATTAACAATCAAGAGCGAATAGGCTGTTTAGTTTACCCTGAAATTACCGAAATAAGTGAACGGTCCATTTAAATGTATTAACTGGGATACTATTAAAATTATGTTAACGTAATCATGCTGCGTGTAACAATGACGATTAAGAAGTCATCATTGGATTCCCATGAAAATTAATTCACCCTGTCTACTGCCAACAATTTGTGTTGATTGAATAAGAAGTACGTCAGATTAAGTTTTGATAAAAGATAAACACAATCATTTCTTTTATTCAACAAATGTTGACGAATGATACAATTTATCTTTTGACGAAAATGTTGCTAAGCTGAATTTGGCTCCAGTGCTCCGACAAATTTTGTAAGATAAAAATTTGACATTTCTTAGAGTGAAACTTAATTTATGCCCGGGTAACTTGGCGTTAATAGCGTGATATAATATCCGTAAATTTGTTATGCTTAATTAACCCAACCTGTGCCATCAAAATACTAAGAACCTCTAATGAAAGGTTTTTTGTTTCAAGGGGTTGTACACGAAAGGAATTGAGTCTTTTTCACAAAATCTGATTTTCTAATCACTATATTTTTAGAACCAAATGTTGTAGACCTTAGATATTTCAAACTATGAATTCTGTTAAATCAAATAATTTGTTAAATAGTTTGAAATATCAAAGGCTTACAACATTCGCTCCTAAAGATAAAGGAGTTTAAATTTTTGAGTTTGTGGCAAAGACTCAATTCCTTTCATGTAATCCTCCCTGCAAAGATGACAATGCTCGATTTACCCTTTAATCCTTTATCTGACCAAATATGATTTAGATATCCAATGTTTTTGTAATTCTTTAAACTGATTATTTTCATTTGTGGTTTCTCTGGGAAAGTGACTTGTTTAAAGGAAGCAATTAAAAAAACTCGCAGAAAAAAACACTCTTCGAATCAAATTAAGGGTTCAATGGTTCCGTTGTAAACCGTTGCCATCTTTTCATGCAGGGTCACTTTAAAATGAAATTGCACTTACAGTCCCTTTAAACTAAAAACACATTTCATAAAGATTGGGTTAGACATAAACACGTATTTTCTATATCCTCCAAGAAAATCTAGAAATATCTAAATTAACTTTTAATCTAATGCCGGTCACTCCCTTTTATTTCAAAAAGATAGAATCAGGAAAGAAAATAATTCTTCTTTTGTTCAACAAATCAGTAAATCTTAAAGAAATGTTCATGACCAGGATCCGGATCCATTTTTTCCTATTAGTACAACTTTACGCTAATACATGTTATTTAATAAACCAGACACAAGAGATTCTGTGTATTTGTTTATTAAAAAGTATTTCCTGAGATAGAATGTATACATATGTATATATAACTATTGTATATCAGAATTGAATAGCATATTTCTCTTCTCTACAATATGTATTTTCATAGTGGAACATAAATCTCTCATGTCTTCCAGAATAAGAATTTCATATCTACTAACAAGATGAATCTTAAAGGGACTGTAAGCGTAATTTCAAGTGACCCTCCATGCAAGAGAGCAATGCCCGATTTACAAGGGTAACCGTTGTGTGTTCATCGAATACAGAGAACTTTGTGTGTAAACTTATCAGAAACAGCTTGTATTCTTACAAACTCCAGTGTATACCTATGTACAGACAGCGTGAATTCGAACCAACTAGCATCCTTTGAAAGCATTAACTTTTGAAACGTTAAAGGTGGGTTTAAATATTTATGTTCTGCTTCTGCCACTACTGGAAAACTATTTATATTTTTTAAATACAAAACATCTTAAAATCAAGGTGTTCAACACTATTTCAGTAGAATATGTCTTATTAATCCAAGGTTTCGTTGTGTGTTGGGGTGGCCTTATAGTCCCTTTAAAACAGTATTTTATCATTTTCTTTTCAGATATAACTGAAGGAGTTTTTTCTTTAAAGATTCACCATAACAATTTTTCTGAAGTTAAAAGTTCATGTCAACCAGACGAAAAATTTAGTATTTTGTTACCGTTCACTGGTTCAGAGAATTTAGTTTAAAAGCACTGCAAAAAAACTGCTATAGCTCCAATAGCATTCAATGGGAAAATTACATTTAGATATATCTCACACTCTGTGCTATGAAACAATAGATGCTACCTTTACAATGAAAGTTGTATCCTTCAAGGAACATGTTTTGCGATACATCAACAGTAATTATATCGCACTGAGTGTGCGATATATCGTACTGTTATAGTAATCCCATCCGTTCAATGTAATGTTCAAAAAAAAATTATTCAATCTCTAAATATTTACCAATTTACTTTTAAAGTTTGTTCAAGATTATTACAATGTTGTAAAAATTATTTTTAAAGAATTACATGAATTAACAAGTTTATTTGTACAACATTGAATAATCTTGAAAAAAACTTTAAAAGTAAATTGGTAAATGTTCAGAGATTGAATAATTTTTTTAACACATGCATATAAAAATCTTATTAAATGATTAATTAAAATTAAAAAAAATTGTGCTTTGTGTGTTATAAAACTGGATATGAAGTTCACGATTATAAACCGGTTTTAATTGCTCTAGGCTATTTAAATTTTTGGAGATGTTAACGCTTCGCCAACTCCTGTAAAGTTTATTAAACATTTGTTTAGAATATATTAATAAGACAGTAGAAATTATTAAGAATTATACTTAGACATTCAAATTGCGCGCTGCAAAGCATTGTTTTTAGATTAAGTTTAAAACTAATTGGACAAAATAAATTATTGCGTTAGAGCTTGCACATCTTAATTCGCAGTGCTTCTTATCTGAAGGGAAAAAACGGACCATTTAGTCTTTGAATCTTAAAATTAAAATAAATATGTATAAGGGTGTATAAGGGTGAAAGTTATAATAAAGTTATTATTTTAAATAATCCAATGAACAACATAAGACACAGCAATTTTAAAATTTAAAGAATTTTTAAGCAAGTAGCAGGGGCGTACGAGAGCATTTGTGTAGGGGGGCACATTTTGCGTGCGTCAGGGCGAAACAAAAATTTTGTGCCACCCCTTGGCAACATTGTGCCCCCCCCCTTGAAAACCCCTTTTTTGAAAAAAATATTGATACCTTTTTTAACTTAGATTTATGTAATTTTCTTAGGGAGGGGGCACAATGTTGCCAAGGGGAGGGGGGCACAAACCAGGCAATCCCTCTTAATACTGTGGTGTAAGCTTTAAGGAATGAAAAATACAGATGGAAACGTTTCTTAAAAAAATATCTATATTTTCATAGGATTGATACATATTGTAAAATAAATTATGATATCAAATATATATTTACACAGTGTTGATTAAAGCTTTTATAATGAATCTTTTTTAGTCAAGGGCAAAAGTGAGATTTTAAAGTATTTTTTTCTTTACGATGTAATTATACTTAAATGGAATACATTTGCAATTTCAAGTGACCCTCCATTTATAGAGTGGCATGTCCGATGTACCTTTAAAACCTTCATTTCTCCATCGTTTCTGAAGCAAGAAATGCGCTAATCACTTTTGTAGAGAAACCAAAAATAAAAATATTCAATTTTTTAAATGGGAAACAAAGGTTTAAAGGGTTTTGTTGTAAATCAGAATATATTTTAGTTTGGGCCGGTGAGTGCAATGCAATGCACTGTAGAATATAGATTGTCTGAGGAAGATGTAATATTAAAAGAACCCCCCCCCCATGAGTCCCCCCTCAGAGGGGGCACGCGTAGGGAGGGGGCGGGGGGCTCGCCCCCCCCCCCTAAGTACGTCCCTGGCAAGTAGTAACAATATTAATATATAACAACATTAAATGCACCACAAGATTGCTTCAGTGTCATCTTCCTTTACCACAGTTTTGTGGTTTTCACTTTATATATTTGTATTTACGCGCTTATAGATGATATCTGGTTTTTAAAAATATTTCAAATATTTCAAACATGGCGCGGCCTACTCTCGTAGGCGCGTCCAGAATCCTGATCAATCCAGTGTGCTTGGCTAAAAGGTATTGCATAACTAAATATTTCAAGGGCGGTTTGCAGCCTGCAGGCAGCTCAATGTTTTCTGTAACGTTCTGCATTCTACGCAATTTTGAACAATAACAATTTTTGCGAATGATATATACTTTGGAGAAAATAACTCAGCGGGAGCGGTTAAATGAGCGGTTGAGATCTAGCCTAGACTCTACACAGTTCAGAATAAAAAAGTAACTGTGATTTAACATACATCGTTTGTGAATGATGTTTTCGTATGGGCCACCGGACAGTGTCCAATTTTCCGCCAGATTTTTTTCCGGCGGAAATTTTAATTACCGGAAATGATTAACCGGAAAATGGAATTCTGGTAATTTTCCGTCACGGAAATTTCTGCTGGAAGTCGGAAATTCCGGAAAATTCCTGAATTCAGTATACAAAAAATGTGAACAGTTTTTAATATAAAATTTTTTCAAATTGTGTCTGGAAAAGTTTAAAAAGCATAATGTCCTGCATAATGTCCTGCATAATGTCCTACATAATGTCCTACATAATGTCCTGAAAAATGTCCTGCCTCATAAATAAGTATTCTGACGTAAAAATTAATAAAATCAACTTGCCCTTACAAGCCATGGCCTAGAATGGTCCCAGTTTGTAAGGTTCAGACTTTATATCCAAAGTAATAACATATTGTCGATGACTTGTATGTATGTTAAATGTTTCATCCATGGATCGTGGATAAAAATGGTTTGCTCATACTGGAAAGTTTCCATCCGGAAAAATTCCGTCGGAAAATGGGTTTCCAGCACCCATTTTCCGCCGGGGGAAAATTACCAAATTTCCTGCGGAAACGAAATTTCTGATCGATAGTTTAGGTGGGCGCTTTCCATATTTTCTAGGGGGTTTGAAATAATTGTGAGATTGCCTCTCATGGTGCGTCAAAATGTGTATCTCCCCCTGGAAAAATTTGTATCTCCCCCTGGAAAAATTTGTATCTCCTCCTGGAAAAATTTGTATCTCCCCCTGGAAAAATTTGTATCTCCTGTTTAGGGTCAAGTCGATCTAAACAACTATAACTTTATTAATTAGATATATACTTGTCTAATGGAAATTTTAATGTTTCAGGATAAAAAACCTTTTTTTAAAAGTTGTAATAAAAAAAATTTAAAGTATATTCTATTTTCATTTAAATTAATTGATCGAAGGAATTAAAATCGGGAACTAGTTTAACTTTCAAATACAGCTAGTTTAATACTTGTTACTTTACAGAACTGCTGTAGTGAAATTAAGCTTTATATAATTAAGCATGAAAACAAAAAATGCACATTATTTTCAAGAAAAAAATTATTGCAAAATTGCCTGAATTTCATTTTCTAATTAACTAAATGATTCAAAGACTGGTTTTTATTGCAGTTAAAAAATTTCACCATTATGTTCATTGGATTTAGATTTTGTGAATGTAGAAAGAGACTAGAGAAAATCTAGTTTTCAATTGTGTTGTATTAAATAAAATAAAACTTATCTAAAAATAAAAAAATGTTAGTTTATTTTATGGAAATGTTGTTCTTGTTGAAAAATGTAAAAAATGTGTCAAGAAATGTTTTTTCTTTTTTAAAATGGTGGGATAGAAGTTTTGAAAATGATGGGATAGAAGTTTTGAAAATGATGGGATAGAAGTTTTGGAAATGGTGGGATAGAAGTTTTGAAAATGGTGGGATAAAAGTTTTGAAAATGGTTGGATAAAAGTTTTGAAAATGGTGTGATAAAAGTTTTGAAAATGGTGGGATGAAAGTTTTGAAAATGGTGGGATAGAAGTTTTGAAAATGGTGGGATAGAAGTTTTGGAGATGGTGGGATAGAAGTTTTGAAAATGGTGGGATAAAGTTTTGAAAATGGTGGGATGAAAAATTTGAAAATGGTGGGATAGAAGTTTTGGAAATGGTGGGATAGAAGTTTTGAAAATTTTATTTACTAGATGAAAAACGAACAGATGTAGATACATGGTGTCAAAGGAGAGTAAGACGAGTTATGTAACAAACTGGATTTTAAAGAATGTTGGGTGGATTAAGAAAAATTCCATTGCCCAGTCCAAATATCTAAATATTTTAGAGAAAATATACTTTTTAAATAAATCGGTTGTAAAGGAATTAAGTCTTTGCCACAAACTCAAATTTACTAATCCTTATATCTTTGCAATCTCATATACCTTTGATATTTCATACAAAGGCTAATTGATTAAAAAATTTGAGTTTGTGGCAAAAACTAGTTAATTTGTTAAAAAAAAGTAAAATTTTGTCAACATAATAAACTTTGTACAAGGTAACAAGTTGACAAGGTTTGTAAATAATATGTACAATATATTCCTGCTTTCAGATATTTGACACATTGAAGGATATCTACTCGATATTAAACAATGATTGTCATTTTCCAGGGCTTCCATTTCAACAGAGTGAAGGGAAATGAGCATTTTGAACATTTCTTTCAATATTCGTTATTTTATAGAGCATATGACCAACATAATTTTCTGTGTATGAACCATGTAGTTTCCACATTCTCTTATTCGATAAATAAAGTTTGCACATTGATACACAGTATAGGAGCAATTGACCCATTTCACTTAATAAATTAATGCCCAAGCTACTACAACTGGTATTTAACTACATGACTACTTCACAACAACATCAAATACCTTAAAGATCAAATAAAGGAATTGAGTCTTTGACACAAACTCTGATTTTCTAATTCCTATATCTCTGCAACCCATTGTCGTAGACTTTAGATATTTCAAACTATGAATTCTGTTGCATCAAATGCATTGAAATATCAAAAATCTACAACATCAAGTTCCATAGATATAGGGATTATACAATTTGAGTTTGTGACAAAGAATCAATTCCTTTCGTCTTTATTTTCCATAATTTTTGGGTCCTACTGTAAATGCAAGAAATGAACAACTAAATTTATGATATTAGAAGGGGAGGAAGGTTCGAAAGATTTAAAGGGTAGTGAAGAAAAATGGTGTAATTCTCTTTTTTAAATGAAAAACGGAAACGGTTTGAAATGTACTCTTTGAAAAGGTAGATCTAACTTTTTATTCGTATTATAAAGAATAAATACTATTTCAGACACTTAAGAATTAAAATGGGCTTCCAACCGAAGAATATTACAAACATTCATTTTCTGCTGAAGTGCGTAGAGCTGGTAACTATTATAAATTGTTTATTTGATCTAACGAGGCGTGTCTTCATTGCATAATCAAGAAATAATGCAATTTCCCTAGATTGACCACGATTAACAAAGTAATTAATCTTCCTACCAAGAAAAAATGATTACAAATCTTTAGCGAACTATTAAATTTGCAATTATATATAGATTAAATATACATAGATATGCACTCTGCAGGCAGGTACGTTATAGCAACCTCCTACTTAAATAGTTTGCAGCAGAAATCTGTAAAAAATAAGCATTTTTATTGTACAAATTCTCTTCTTCAAATGTTGCTATCTGAGTCTGGTTCACCAAGATTAAATTGTTAGGTATAGGTGCTAAGACATGAAGAATTCCTAGAGGATTAAATGGCATGTGTACGACATACAGTGGGAACCAAAAAACTATGAAATAGGAAGGCGACATCAATTAAGTGTATTTAATTTTGTTACAATGCAAATAGTTGTACTCGTAACTTATTAAATCAATTATTAAGTGAAATGGGTTTGTTCACAATGCACACTTGCCGTTTCTCATGTTCCATGTACTATTTAAAATCATAACTTGATAGTTAAAGTCGTCTTCTTATTACAGAGTTTTATGGCTATCCACTGTAGACTAGATGGTACTGCTATACCCGCCTCTCACTAGATCAGACCTCAAAATGTGTACCTGCCTACTATATATATAAACTTAATCTATGCTCGAATTCTCTCGAATGATAACTGATTTGGTTTATTTCCATAATAAATTGTATTATTATAAATATATTTTGAAAAACATAAAATAATTCGGACTCCTGGAATCTGTGACATCCTTTTCAGTAGTGTACAATGTCCAATCTGCTGTTTAAAGATAAAGTTAACTAAATTTAATAAGACTCCTTTTTACAAGAAAATAGTAAAAAGTAAGTATTTTTTTTGCTTTCCGATGTATTTTGCCAAAAAAAAATTTAAATAGAGATTCAAACATCGCAAAAATGTTTGATTTGCAATTTTGTATGCAACTTCACGATTACAAAAGTCCTTAAATCGATTTTTTACTCAGAAAAATGCCTTAAAGATAAAGTGGTTTACTCCTGTTTTTGAAAAAAAATAGTTTTTTGAATACATTATACCAAGAGAGTAATGATGGTTTACCGAACTGGAAATAGCTCTGATCCTACTGGCTGGAGAGCATATCATATGAAGGATTTTTTAATATTTGCATGTATCGGTAATACTAGAAAGGAATTGAGTCTTTGACACAAACTCTGATTTTCTAATTTTTTTATCTTTGCAACCCAATGTCGTAGACCTTAGATATTTCAAACTATGAATTCTGTTACATCAAATTATCTTAGTTTAAAATATCAAAAGTCTACAACATCAGGTTCCATAGATATAGGGATTAGAAAATTTGAGTTTGTGGCAAGGACTCAATTCCTTTATATTATTTCCAGGTGTTTGTGTTCATTGTAATGATGGTTTACCGAACTGGAAATAGCTCTGATCCTATTGGCTGGGGTGCATATCATAATATGGCGGCTTTTGGAATATTCACCTGCATCGGTAATATTAGAAATAAAAAAATATAAAAGTAAAAAAATTTGAATTAGAAATGCGCGCTCTCACGCGAAAAATACAGTATTTTGCCTTAACTGTTTATAAAATTAGGCTAAATACATGTGCGGTAAAATTTTTAAAATGTATATGCCTTGGACTATAAAAAGTATAGTTGAGTTGGTGAGGTAAAGACAAGATTTCTTTTTCAGGTTACTTCTTTTTTACGATAATCCTGATGATTGGAATGGTTGCTGGAGACTCAGCTCCTGTTTTTGTAAGTATTCTACGAATTTAAAAATAATGATTTGTTACGCTCTGGGTTGGTTGATTTGATAGTTTTTTTAGTATTTTTGTTTTGGAGGACTAGACAGATTTTCCATTTAAATGAAAATAATTATTTAACGCATTCTTCACAAACTAATTTCAACTTAAGAAATGTTACAACTACAAGAATACATTTGTGTTTATTATAAGAGGAAAGGGAAAAGTGAGTTGAAATATTAAAATTCAAAACTTTGTAATTAAGAAATTCAAAGAAATTAAAAAATTTTTATAAACATTAGATAATGAAATATTTGAAAAGTATACTCCTTCCCTATAGCTGACTTGGATTCTTGTTCTTCTTAAGTGTGGGGTCCCGAGAGATTGATATCTACAACAGCATGCCGGCAAATTCGGTAAATTTAATTCTTTTTAGGACAGGTAACAGTATTTATTCATTTGAATTAAACTCTTTTGCAAAATATGTTTTTTATTCTTGTTTAATAAAAGATTATAATCCTATTTTTTTCAAAATTCAAAAATCTTTTTTCTGTTCGGTTATCATACTGAAGGTGCCATTAAAAAAAAAGTACCGTACATTGTTGGTCAATTTACATACTTGAATACTTTAGAAAACGTCAAAATCAATGACTTAAGTCTAAAAGCTGGATATTCAACTTATTACTAAAAAATATACATAATATAGTTTATTTAAGATAGATCGATATTTTGCCTGTTTTACAATCTGTTTTCTTTCTTTTACAAGTAATTGAGAAGCTTTCTGCATCGAAACAAAAAACTTTTTATTTTATTTTTTTCTTTACTTTTCATTTTTTTTTTTGGCTTAGACATTGTGGTGCCCCGTTCGGGGGAATAAGGGGCACATGCCCCTGTGCCCCCTCTAGCTACGGGCCAAGTTACAGTTACATTCGCCATGATTTCGGGTTGACAGAACCTTTTAAACTGTCCACAATTCAATCCACATTAATCAAAGATATATTTAAGTTTGTCAGTGTGGCAGCGGAACTAGCTTTAGGAAGCATGGCCATTTTAACAGCAGTAATATATCTAGGTGAGATAATGAAAAATTAAACGTTTTTCAAAATTTGAACTCACTAAAATCTTGACAAAACCATTAGAATAATAATAACATCAAAGAACTATTCTTATAATAATAACATTTTCAGTTGATGTTGCTCTCCGAATTGTTGGTATTACAAAGGGGAACAAAGACTGAGGTGGCTGAAAATATAAAATGTTGTGTAATATTCATTTATTAAATGAAAACAAATATTTGTTATATGTCCCTATATCTGTAAAAAATATAATTTGCACATTATTACAGTGAAAGCAGTTGAGCAGTGTACACAGACCAACTTCACTTCATAAATTAATTTACAGATAAAAAATATAATTTGCACATTATTACAGTGAAAGCAGTTGAGCAGTGTACACAGACCAATTTCACTTCATAAATTAATTTACAAGCTACTTCAACTGGTATAACTACAACTGCAGTAAATACGGAGTAACACGATATCTACTACTACGTTATACATTACTTTCTATCTACTTTTGTAAAACCTTCAAGTAAAACCCATTATTCATTTGAACTGCGCTTCAAATTAATATGTAGCCTGATCAGCTTAATATATATATATAATGACGTACATCTTGATTGCTTCTATTTTAACTGTGCTGTTAATACATAAAATGATATCTTAATCATGTGATAAAGATAATGACCTAGGAATTATAATGACGTCTATGAACTTTAACTTGTAACTTTAACTTATGATATAATGGAAACCCTGAGAAAATGTTCTAATGGTGTGAAAGCTTGGAAACTCTTCTGCTTAACTATAACTGGGAAATAATCCCATTTAAAGATATAAAAAGGATGATGGGTTTCATGTATCGCGGGAGCAGTTAGAAGAGAGATAATAGCGTTTTTTCAAATGGGAGTAGCAATTGAGAGATGTGAAGCAGGAGTGTTTTTTGCGGAAATGGTGAAAAGATTCTCACAACAAAAATATGATAATAGCCAGTGTCAGGAATACCTAGACATGAAAAAGAGAAATGAAGAGGATGCCAGAAAAGCTAATACAGATAAGATAAAATTATATTGGAAACAGGAATACCTGGATGGGAAACAGGAAAGTGGTAAAGATACCAGAGAATATTATGCTCCCAAGGAAGAGTTATAGTTACAAGCATATGCTCCAAAAAAAGAAGAGCCTGGTTGAATTTAAGCTTGAAATGCTCAAGGGACTGCAGATGAAGAGTTGAAGGAGACATACCTGTTTTTTTGCCTAAGGAACCAAAACAGAAAAGAGAGATTAAGGCAGTACTAGTCCGACAGTTATCTGATAGGCATGAGTTAAAAACTATGTATATCAATAGTTTTGAGATGACAGAAAACAACAAGAGAGTGGATAAAATGTGGGAAACAAAAAACAGCGTCATAGATAGTTCTGAGACAACAGAAAACAGCAAGAGTGTTGTAGAAAGTAGAGAAGCAGGAAACAGGAACAAGGAACCAGTTGTACAGCATGAGTGTGTTGTATAAAGTAGAGAAGCAGGAAACAGGAACAAGGTACCAGTTGTACAATATGAGTGTTGTAGAAAGTAGAGAAGCAGGAAACAGGAACAAGGAACCAGTTGTACAACATGAGTGTTGTAGAAAGTAGAGAAGCAGGAAACAGGAACAAGGAACAAGTTGTACAGCATGAGTGTGTTGTATAAAGTAGAGAAGCAGGAAACAGGAACACCTGATACGAGTTTAACAGAGAACAATTCTAACAATGTATGCCTGAAAACCCAAGGATTGGAGGAAGTTAACTATCCGGAAAGGAAGGGTGTTGATTTGGGAAATAATTCTGATAGTTTAAAATCAAGACTTTAAATCCTGAATTTCCTGGAAACCAGAAGTATTCCGGAAAAATACAAGGAATAGTGATGGGAAGAGGAAAAGATCCTGAGTCTAAAGAATAAGAAAGTCAAGACACAAAGGGAATTAAGCTATCTAGATTGTCTGGATAGAGTGGAAACCTTGATGAGTAATAAAGAGAAAGCTCTGGTGTCTAGTAAAGAAGATCTGGTTTATAAAGATAGGCTGCACTGGTGAGTAATGAAGACAAAGCTAGGATTGAAGCCTAAATGAGTGGTGAGGAGTTTTTTGTAAAACATGGTAAGTCAAGAGAGTTGACTGAATCATGCCTTAAGTCTTAGCATGGGAATTGGGAATTGTGAAACATTAAGAAATAACCGAGTCTTGGTCAAAACAAGGAGTGAGTCATATACTGGAATTTGGAGAAAGAAAACAGGAAGACAAGAACTTTGAAAAAACCATGCTACCACAAGAGCAAGAATCAGGCCAGGAAAGAATACTCCAAGAAAATACTTATAGTTTATCAGACAATATCCAAGCTGTATGCGTGAAGAAACAAGAAGATAAAAATAAAACATTGTTGGAAATGATTAAGAATTAAACTGATTTTAGAAACATTTCTGATAGTTTAATGATGAATCAGGGACTATTAAAACTAGAATACGAGGACTTCAGCAAATCCATGCTACCAGAAGAACAAGGATCAGGACTAGAGCTAGTATTTTAAGAAGAAAGGAGTTGAGTTTTTGCCACAAACTCTGATTTTTTAATCTCTATATCTTTGTAATCCAATGTCGTAGACCTTAGATATTTCAAACTATTTTTACTTATAGATAAAATAATCAAAGTCTGAAATATCAAAGGTTTGCACCATCAGGTTGCAAAGATATTGGGATCAGAAGATTTAAGTTTGTGGCAAAAACTCAATTCCTTAATGGTTGATCATGCAGTATACAAGCTATATGCATGCAGAAACATGAAGATAGAAATAAAACATTAATGGAAACAAGGAATTATGTAGGAGAATAAGGTTGTCCTTCAAAATAGATGAAAATGAGATCTCAAAACAGGATGAAAAGTTGAAAGAGTTTTTGAATAAGTTTTCTGGTCTGGCAGAATCCGAAACATTACAGGGAAACAGATATTTTTGAATTCAAAATAAATGAGAAGAGATCAGAAAAGATAAACATAGAATACCCACGGAAAAATGAAGTATATATAGAAAGGAATCCAGCGGAAATAGTTAAGAAGAGGCGAAATTTTGCCAAATATCTGTCTGAATACCTAGTAGGAATCAAGAGAAGTATCAAGATCAAAAAAAATATCAAGATCAACCGAATAAGCATCAAGATTGAGAGAAGAAACAAGATCAAGAGAAACATCAAGAGCAAGAGTCTTACATGACGATAAATATACACAGATAAACAGACACCTTGAGTGGAAACAAAGTCGAAAATTAGTTTATTAGGAACAGATGGAGAAAATAAAAATTAACTCTTGAAAATAACTAATCTTATTTAGTAATTAGTTTCTGTAATGTCTCCTTGTTCGCAAACATTTTCTGAAGATTTGTGGGAAATTTTTATTGAAAGACAATATTTGAAGAATTTGAAGAAATCTGCGTATGCTTTCTATTAATTATCAACGTTTTTAAATAACTACGTAAAACTTGTAATTATGTTCATTTACTTAACCTGTATCATATAATTCAAAATAAATGTCAGTTGAAATATTGCTCTGCTTTGATTACGGTGTGAGAGTAATTGTTTCTTGGTTAGTGAACGAGAAGCGTCCTGAATTCCTTTCTTTAAAGATAGATATTGTATCCGGATTAATATTGACTGTGGTATTTGTGATGAACCTTGAGTTCTAGATTGAGTTGTATCTTGTAAGACAAGATACCTGAGAATACAGATAAAGTCGTATCCGGATTGATACTGACCAAGGTATTATAGGAAAAACCTGGAGTTCGAGATTGAGTTGTACCTGGATTGTTACTGACCTTTAAGTATTTATAGGAGTAGGGCATTTACTACTTACTTAAACATTTGTTAACTATAAAAACTAAAATGAAAAATCTCTCTTTTTCACACACACCCCGAATCCCATCTCTCTCTCTCTCTCTCTCTCTCTCTCTCTCTCTCTCTCTCTCTCCTTCTCCCTCCTAGTCCCAAGAAATATATAGTTCCTTGCCTAGTCCTAGCACCTAGTTTGTTGTTTGAAAACCGGTTTTAAGATAAACAATCATTTGGCATTTGATATTCTGATATTTTCCCGCTCTTGAAGCTTTATCTATCAAATCTAATATTTAACGAGGATACTGCAGATCATATCTTCCAGCTGTCAATATTTCTTCATGCTTAAATGGTACCAACTTCTTAATCGACAAAGTAATATCTAGAGATGGACATCGTTTTTGTGGACATAAGATATTTTTCGTCAACGATGCTGTATGAATAATGAAAGAAGGAATTTGAACATAAACCATACAGAGAAATAAAAGACGATCATAAAACGAATGATTTAAAATCGGTAATGGTCGTTTGCATTTTAATTCAGTCGGACCGCGAACGAACCGTTAAAAAATAGTTTTTAGACATTATGTGAAACCCAACCTAACCCAGCCAAACCTAGCCTAACCCAGCCTAACCCAGCGCCTAACCCAGCCTAAACAAGCATTCTAATCTGAACAAACGACTCTGCTGAATGAAGGATTTTATGAAAGAAATGTAAAGTTTACCCCGAATTCTTCTTGCATCATATTGGAAAGAATAGTTCGATGCGATTTCTCCTCTGCAGTTGCTACCCACCCCTAAGATTTGCTCTTATTATGCTATATTTCAGATAGATCGCCGTGTCTAACTGAATGTTAATCGCTGCGTTGCACTATTGGAGCAGAGTTTAGATCGCCGAATCTCTTAATACTGATCGCCAAGTCTTGCGAGGTAATTTTATCTTTTCAGTTATCTTACGTTTAAAATCTGTTTGTTTTATGCACGTTACATTGCATCGTCGCATAGTTTGAGGGAGTTTGAGGCTCATTTATATAGTCTCGCTTTAGTTTTGAAAGAATTTTACATTGGTCCTTGCAAATTTAATTGTACAGTAAATTTTTCCCTGCTAGCTCTTCACTTAATGTACGTTACCCTCTTGTTTACACTAAATCCTTACCTTTTTATTCAGTATTTAGTATTATTTGGTTAGTTTTTATAATTATAGAATCTGTTGATTGCTGCTGCCTTAGACTCACTGTTTTTTAGATAAGATCGCCGAATCTCTAACAGAAAGTTAGTCGCTGCACTTTGCCGCCGGAGCATTAGTTAGAACACTGATTTTTTTTTTTTGTTACAGACCGCCGAGTCTATTGTGAGGTAATTTTACTATTTTCAGATATCTTATGTGCATCACCTGTTTTTCTATGCTTATTTAGTTTCGCTTTCCTTTCCTTTTGAAATAATTTTATATTAATCCCCCTTTGTAGTTTAATTCTACAGTATTTTACAAAAAATACCCTTCCCCCCCCCCCCATCCCTGCTTATTTACACCTTAAATGTACGTTACCATCTTGTTTACACTAAATCATTACTTTTTCAGTCAGTATTTAATATTTATTTAGTCAGTTTTTATAATTATAGAATCTGCTGATCGCTACTGCTTTAGACCCTCTATTAATATGTATTATTTTAGTTAAGATCGCCGCATCTCTTAACAGAACGTTAGTCGCTGCACTTTGCTACCAGAGCATTGGTTAGATCGCTGAATTTATTGTTACAGACCGCCGAGTCTATTGTGAGGTAATTTTATTATTTTCAGATATCTTATTTTCATAATCTGTCTATTATATGCTTATTTAGTTTCACTTTTCTTTTCTTTTGGAATAATTTTATATTTATCCTCCTTGTTACTATAAATATACAGAGTGTCCCTATCAAATTGGATTATCTCTTCGCTTCAAAGACAGAAATACACACATTATACTTGAAAAACCTAGTATTTTCTGCAAAAACATTTTAAAAATGACCTGAACAAAAACTGTTCGATAAGATGTGGGACACCCTGTACAGCGATTTTATAAAAAATTACCCCCCCTCCCAGCTCATACACTTTAAATGTACGTTACCTTCTTGTTTACACTAAATTCTTTCCTTTTTATTCAGTATTTAGTACTTAATTTGTTAGTTTTATTATTAAAGATCCTTCTGATCGCTGTACTGCCTTAAACTCTCTGTTAATATGCAATATTTTAGTTAAGATCGCCGAATCTCTTAACAGAACGTTAATCGCTGCACTTTGCCGCCGGAGCATTAGTTTGATAACCCGATTCGCTTATGAGGTAATCTTAATCTTTTATTATTCTAATACTTAGTTTATTTTTGAAGTTTCGCTTTTTTCATTTTACATTGATCTTTTGTAACTTAAATTCTACAGTAAAGCTACTTTCCCCCCCCCCCTCTTGTTCACACAAACAAATGAAGTTTACAATTTTTCCAGTTATTATAGAAACGTTGTAGATCTAGCGATCACTGAACACATGGTTTTTTATTTTCTCTAAGGCTTAAAAATCTCTTGGTCTAGATATCCTACTAAATCCTTTAGTTTGGATATTTTCTCAAGTTAACTTGACGTAATCTTGACTTATTCTTATACAGTAGCCTCCTAGATGTTCTTAATTATTCTCAAGTACTCGATTTATTTTTGTATAATCCATTCTTTGCCCGAAGAAGATTTTAAAGCCCAAATTTCAGTTATTTTATCCTATTTTTCGCAACCTACAAAAATTTTGCCTAATCCTCTTTTCACATTCCACTAACCTGTAATCTCCTTTAGTTACTTGATTTATATATTCAATGAACGCGTTTATTTTCTACCCAATCCTCGTGTTAATTCTTACTTAAATTTTTATTCCATTTTTAATATTTGTAATTTTTTAAATTTTTTACTCATCTTTTAATCTTTACCAATCTTCCGTCCTTAATTTTTCTTAAAGTTTTATCATATCACGATTTTAGTTTTATTAGCTTACAAACCTTTCTCTCCCCTCATACAGTCTCAGTTTTATAGAAAATGTCGACAATGACCCATGTTGAATGTACGTTTTTCCATTTCTTAATGTTCAGTGGTAAATTTGTAATTAGAAAAAATGCCTGTTAACAGTCATTACTTGAAATAAAGAGGTTGTCTTCATTGTAATGACATAAATGCTGACCACTGAGTTCTTTCTAACAGTTGCACAGTGCATGAATTTTCTAAATTCGTCAATATTTATTCCTAATTTTTAGACTGCTGTGAGATTTTGTTCGCCGTAAACTCAACTCACCACGATGCCTCTTGATTTTCCTACTGCAACACAAGCCGAGTTAGATCTTGAACGAAATGCAGTACATTTAGCTCTACAGAAGCAAACTACCACAGGGTCATGGAGTAAAGTGGTAAAATCAGTTGCCGCCGAGTTACTTCATACTAAGACAGATCTCGAAGACATTTACCGTCTGCTAGCCTCAGCTGATCTAGCAACCGTCACTGGTCAACAGAAGACAGATTTTCTACTTAAACTTAAATCTGCCACCCTAAAGATCACGAATGCTTACCAAGTGACCTATATCTCTCTATCGGATGCACCAGACACTGCAGAGGAATTTTTAACGTTAGATTCCTGCTCGGGTCTTTCCCCAGAACAGACCAAGAAGATAACTGAAATCCGGAAGAAGAAAGAAGATCTTGCAGATAAAGCCGAACAGAAAGCTCAGAAAGTCTCCTTTTTTAACTCTAGTCGAAACAAACCCTACTACCAGCCAAAAGCTTTTGAATCTTCTAACTTCCAAACTCCGATGAACTTCCAAAATATGATGAATCTTCAAAACCCACTGAACTATCATACTCCATATGCCAACTTCCAAGCGATGAATTTTCAACCTAAACCTCGTTTTCATTTCTCTGGGCCTCCCCCTCCCCTTGCACTCCCCAACACCAGTCTTTATTACAACTCTGCATATCCTGGTCAAACCCAACAACAGCTCTCTTACGTTCCACAACCAAACCTGGCTCGAGAGAAGAAGAAACTAATGATTGAACAAGAGAAACTCGAAACACAATGCAAAGATTGTGATCTGTTCGGACATTGGCGAGGGGATGCTAGGTGCCCCCTGGCTGTTAGTAGAGTTGCAGGTTACATGCTTCATTCTTAACCAAGTAATTGCGTTGCATAGTAATTATCAGCTATTTTCATTTTTGTTTTGTTATATTGTTTTTGAACTAAAATTGTTATTTTCTTTTTTACTCTGATTTTTACCTGTGCCAGTTTACTTGAGTTTGGAAATATATACCCTTGTTATAACTTGTTTTTATTTGTTTTGTTGAAAAGATTAAAAATATCTGTTTTTTTGGTTCATATTTTTTAAATTTTTCTTTCAGCCACGCTTGCAGATCGACTACTTATTCTTCTGTTCGTTTGTTTAAGTTCATTATTTTAACCAATTTTTCAAATTTAAAAGCAAATTAATCGGTTTCTAATATTAATTTTTTAAGATTTCAAATAAATTAATTCTGTTAAAGATCCTAAAATATCAAGTTCATAAGTCGAGTTTAAAAAGTTATTAGTATTTCTTAATTTTAAATTTTTCCATTTAAAATCTTGAAATTTCCCTGGTTTACAAATATTATTCTAGGTCCACTTCCCTTGATCAAATGGGATGGAACAGGTCACGAAACCTTAACCTTGTACTTCAAAGAACTAGGGTTCTCTCTACCCTCGTCTAATACTGAGTTCATGATTCATCTAGCATCAGATTTTCTGAATCCGTCCTTAATGCTAGCAGTTATAATTTATCAATTCTTAATCATGGGTTGAAACTTAATTTTGTTTCCTACCCTAAAGCTTATGAAGAAGAAAACAATAAGAATGCGCGGGACAATCTCGTCGCAGTTCGGGATAAAGTGAAAGATTGGTTGAAATCTGGCAGTGTAGAAAAAGTCTTAACTAAACCTTATTGTGTTAATCCCCTTAATCTTGTGACAAAAATTGACAATGGCACTGGTAAAGTAAAAAATCGTCCATGTATAGATATGAGTCGTCATTTAAATAAGCTCATGAAAGAAGAGAAATGTAAATTAGACGATCTTTCTGTCGCCGAACAAACTTTAGAAAAAGACGATTTTATGTGTACCCTTGATTTGAAGAATCAATTCTTTCATGTACATCTTAATCCAGAGTTTAGAAAATTTTTTGGTTTTAAACTCCCAAGAGAGTCCGGTGAAATTGATTATTATCAATTCAATGTCATGGCTTATGGAAGTAAGCCAGCCGTGAATATCGTTACACGATTATTGAAACCAGTGAAAGAGTTTTTACACATTCTAGGGATTAAGTTTTCTATCTACATTGATGATGGTCGCTTAAGTGCACCGTCAGAAGTTGAATGTTTAGACAAATTTAAAGCTACCCTTTTAGTTTTACAGTTAGCAGGGTGGAATATTCAATGGGAAAAAACTTCAACCGTTCCAGTTCAAAAACTTTCATATCTTGGTTTGATAACTGACACAGTTGAAATGAAATATTATGCCCCAGTTCATAAGATTACTCACTTAAAATCTCTTCTAGAGGAAAGTCTGAAAAAATATCATCAATTCAAGTATTTACAGCTCTAGATTTAGCCTCGCTGTTGGGGAAAATAAACTCTTTATTCAAAAGCCATGGAAATTTTGTTTACATGTGTCGTCATGTTCAAAATCTGTTGGGTAAAGCAGTTTTCTCCAATGGATGGGAAACCAGTCTGTTTTTAAATGATTTGGCTTTTACTGAACTTCAATTTCTTTTGGACCATCTTGATTTTTTTAATGGAACTGTTATCATCAATGCACCAGGCAGTGGAAAACTTGCTCCTTTTAAATTGATAAAAGATGCTATTCAATCCGTTGAAAGAGATGAAATTTTAAATGAAGAACTGTTAGTTTCTGATGCTTCAGATCATTCAGCTTTTATTTTTTCGAAAGGAAATATAAAACTCGTTGAAGATTATACTTTTTCACCACTTGAGAAAAATTTTTCTTCCAGTCACCGAGAACTTCTTGGGTTACTTAAAACTTTGGAAACCAATCCAAAGTTTTTTCTTAGTCTCACTAACCCTACTCTTTATTGGCAGACAGATTCACAAAATGCTGCCAAGTTCGTTCTCAAGGGCTCACGTAAACCCAAAATTCAACAAGATATACTAAAAATCAAAATCCTAGAACGTAAATATAATATATTTATTTGTCCAATTTGGACCCCGCGGACACATAGTGACATTGTAATAGCAGATATCGGTTCTAAACTTGCAACAAGCACAGATGAGTTCAGTATTTCAATTCTAAGTCTGAGAGTACTTTTTTCCAACTTTAAATTGTTTCCGACAGTAGATGCTATGGCTTCAGATAAAAATTTCAAATGTTCAAAATTTTACTCTCTCATCCCACAAAAGTATAGTGACTCGATTAATTTTTTTGCCCAATCTCTCAACTCATGTGAAGTGTACTATTGTTATTACTATTATTTACTAAAAGATCAAAACTAATAGCCTAACTGATTGAAATATTCAATTAACTCATCCCCTGTATTTGCAAAAGCAATAAATCATACCAAATAAATTAAAACCTTTTAACTAAAAAAAATTTGAAGCAAAATTAGCTTCAAGAATTAAATTGAATGAATCAAGGTACTAATGCAAGGAAAGTTATTTCATAGGCGTACGCATTTTTTGTACTGCAGTGTACTGTTTTATGGTGGAAAAGTAAACACAGACGGATTCCACATCCTGACATGGAATCCATGTTCACAAAAATAATCTATGAAATATTCTGGTCATAGGGATTTATTATGTAAATTATCAAAATTATCAAAAATAAATGATTTAATCCTCGGATACTAGACGAACACTGATGCATCTATTCTTGTTTACAAATTCCGCCCAGAGAGAACTGGTTTCAATATGTATCGAAGAGTATACACAACCGCAACTAACTTTCCTTGCATTAGTACCTTGGAATGAATTAAAGATTCAATCAGAATGCTCATGGAAAGGTACAGATGAGATCAACACTTATATAATTCAGTTTTTCCTCACTATAGGGGGGGGGGCATTCGGTTCGGCCCTATTGTACTCGCATATCCCTATGCAATTACATATGATATATATTTCTACATCTATATCTATATAAATTTTTGTTTGTTTAGATGTCCGATCATATACTCAGGAACACTATTGTCTCAAATTTTGATTGGAGAACTCTGGAGAACCACGGGAATGTTCTTAGCATTCGTTTAAAAGTTCTTGGGTTGACTCTTATAAATAAAACTTTGTTTCCGGGCAAAGCTGGGTTCCCAAGCTAGTTATAGATATTCTGAAACCATCAATTAAGTCTTTGTTTTAATGTATTGATAATTTCATACAAAAGCACTTGATGCAGTCACCAGGCAGATTCGGTTTATTACACAGAAAAATAAAACGCAAAAAAACTAGTTTTCTTCTTCGTTCAAACATTAAATGTTGCAGCAGCCTGCAGGACTAAACCAGAATCCTGCGCAAAACTAAACACTCCTTGGGGCCTGGAATTTTGGCTTGTTGCGGGGGGGGGGGGGTACACAATTGCGTAATACGCTTAGTCCGTCCCTACAAATCCACTGAGTGTAACCACATTCCTCGAATACACCAAACTATCAACACTAAAATGAACCGAATTAAAATTTTGTAAACATAGTGATAGTTATTAAGAAAATTTCAGATTTTACTCACATTATCAATGATCAATCTACATCGTAATTTGTACGAAATTAAAATCTAAATATCTAAATATTATTTTATCCTGGAGGTATGGAAGATTCTATATCATCATTACGGGAAAGTTTACACACAACATAAGTGCTTGAGTATATTATTTAATCATAATGAAACAGGGCAGAGGCGGCTTATGGTGGAGGCAAGGGGGGGACGTCCCCCCTCCCTGGAAAATTTGGGGGGACGTCCCTCCCCCTGGAAAAATTAGAAGCGCAAGAAAAGAGAGCTCTGGCCCCCTACTAACCCTTTAATTTGATTTTTAAGAATAGAATTAGATTCAAAATAAATTTTCACTCAAAATGTTTATTGTTAATAAAATTAGAAATCTTGCAAATACATTTTCCACATTCCACCCTAGAGCTGCTCATGGTTTTGACATAAAATTAACTAAATTCACTGTAAAAAATTCATTGATTTCCTCCCCCCCCTCCCTGTGGAAAATATCATAAGCCGCCCCTGAACAGAAAGATGTACACCATTAGGTTGCAAAGATATAGGGATTAGAAAATTTGAGTTTGTGGCAAAGACTCAATTCCTTAGTCGAATTCCCACCATCCTTTGGTTGAAACTTTAATTTGGAACTGAGGTTTGCTTAGTCCAAAATGACTAAGCTTATCGTATAGCTCTTAATTCTGTTTCATTTTTCACACAATTATTTTGAAAAAAAGTGATGATATATGGCGGATTAGTGCTTTTACTTTAAAAGACAAAAATTGTTTAATATTTTTACACCACTTGAAAGTTGTCTGACCACTATTTGTAAATTGTTTCAGAATGTTTTTAGTACAAAACTTTTTTTATAAATCAAACTGCAAACAAACTACAATAAAATACAATACATTAATGCAATACAATACAATACAATACAATACAATGCAATACAATACAATACAATACAATACAATACAATACAATACAATACAATACAATACAATACAATACAATACAATACAATACAATACAATACAATACAATGCAATACAACACAACTTACCTTTAAGTGAATGAAACTATTATAAATCTGAATTTATAAGAAAAGGACAAAGATATTACTTTTTTTCAATCTTCTTAAAATTAAACGTTGTTTTTCTAAAATCGTCATAGTGTGTCCTCTTTATTTTTGTTGGAATGAAAAATAATAATGGTTGTGTTTATCTTAGATTATCCATAAGATTCAGAAAATAAGGGGTTTCTTATACTGTAAAAGTTGAGACTGTAAAGACGACCAGAAACTTATATAAAGCTAGCTTGGGAACCCAGCGCTGCAAGGTTACTAAAAGTTACTCCCACCGTTTACCCGCATTTGAACGATTTTTACCAGGGAAACTAAATCTTTGCTTTTAAAGTCAAACCACTCAACTTAGAATCTCAAAACCAAGCTAAGAACATTAACATTGAACAAATTAATTAATACAGTGATAACCAGAAAACTCTGAAATAGAAAGACGACTTTTAAACGCAAGGTATAACTTTAAACAGTGAAATAAGCATGTACCACACCAAGCCCGTCAGGACAAATGGAGGAAAATGTACGCTAGATTGTGACGTATGTATTTAGGTTAATCAACTACACTGATCATTGTTATTAGGTGCAGTACGTGGAAAAGGGATTTGAAAACAAACCAAAATTTCGCTGAGGGGGGGGGGGATTTTATTCATGGACTATTTCGGTTATAAAAAGAATTGTAACTTTTTCTTCGCCTTAATCATACATGATAAAATGGTAAATGAAGACAACATCTAATAAATATACAGTGCTCCCCAAAATAAAAGGGTAGGTATTGGCGACTTTTCAAAATATCCAGTGCTCCCCAAAATAATATGGAAAATGAAGACGACTTCTTATAAATATACAGTGCTCCCCACAAAAAATATAGTACAGTGCAACCCTTAATAAAGAAGACATCGGAAGAATTTATCAGATGTCGTGTTGACAATTTTTCAATGAGTTTTTTACTATATTACGTAAATTTCAGTATTTGCGAAAATAAATAAATAGCCATGAATGTGCGGAAACAGTTTTAAAGAGTTCCATATAATCATTTAATTAAAATACATATCTGCAACATTCCATATCAGAAAGTGAAGAATACGACATTTGATAAATTCTTTCAATGTATTCGTTATTAAGGGTTTCACTGTAGGAATAGACCTTAAATATTAAGTGCTTAAAGACATTATATATTGGGTCAAACAACGGGCAAAAACTCGACCAATGATAAAACAATCCAATCGAGTATAAATACATAAACCTAAGACCTGAATTATGGCCGCTGCGGCTGCTCTTGGCTCTGAAACTGTTTAACCCAGCCTAACCTTGAACATTGGCTAAATTCTTAATAATGATTTTATTGTGTTATAGTTATATTTTTTAATTGTGGCTTTATCTGAACATCTTCTCTTTGGACAGTATAAAACAAAACGAAAAAAATTTGCGGATTTCATAAAAATTTTTTGCGCATTTTCAAAATTTTTCAAAAATAAAAAACTTTTAAACACAAATTTTTAAAATTTTGATCATTCATAAACCTTCCCTGGGGTCACGTGAGGTCCCAAAAAAAATTGGGCCCGATCTGTTCAGCCGTTTTGACGTTTGTTGGATACAAGCAAACAGACACCCAAACAAACAAACAAACAAGCCAAATTTATATATAGATTGTGATTAACGCTTAAAATTATACATCGAAGTGAATCCAGCTAATTTCGGAACATTTTCAGACATTTAATTTGATCTCTTACTCAACATCAGTCAAAAACAAGATACTTCATATACAGTTAAACCCACAACTTCGGAGTCATTATAAAATGTCGTCTTGGCTTTTTTATACCACCTTGAATCTACATAAATCTCCATATAACTATTCAATTAAATATCTGCAGCATTCCATTATCAGTAGGTTAAGAAGACGACATTTTATTAATTCTTTCTATGTCTCCAAAGATCTTGGTTAAACTGTACTAAAAAAGTACATAGCCCAAAAGTTTAGACTCGAAGGACTTTTTACAAGAACCTCTAGTTTACCGTATACCATCTATCATTCAAGCAGTAAATTAATGTAAAATAAGTAATCGTTTATGCTTAGTTGAGTGTGATATAGAATTTCAGGTATTTTTGCAGTTGTTGAAACTTATAAATTAATATTATTTCCAGTCGTTTGTGTTCATTGTAATGATGGTTTACCGAACTGGAAATAGCTCTGATCCTACTGGTTGGGGAGCATATCATGATATGGAGGCTTTTGGAATATTCACCTGCATCGGTAAAACTAGAAATTTATCGCTAAAATAAAAAAATCAACAAAATGCAACTTATGAACCTTGTAACCTGTAGATCATGTAGATTGTAGACTATACTACAGTGCATTCCCATTAATTAAAATCTTTCAAGTTTTTAATCTAATCATAACTCATCTTTAAAAAAGGTATTGAAACTAAAAATATGTTTTGAATTTCATTTCTAGTAAAGAGTGTCCCACGAAACATGACTTTAATGTCGTCTTCCACATACTGAATCAAATATCTTTTTGAAGTTTATTTCGTTAAAAAATCTTTTTCTCAACTATATTTTACTAAAATAAACTTTTACTAATAAAATTTACTATAATATGACTCCCATATAATATTTTTATTATTGTCTTAGGTATCAAACCTCACAAAAAATTATGGAAGAAAACATTCTAAACTATTCCCAAATTGTCATGTTTCGTGGGACACCCTGTACGTAACAGAATAAATTTGCTTTTTTTGTACGTAAGCTGAAAACTAGAGGAGCTACGAGATCACAAAGTAGTACTAATGATGTTACATACATTTTACCTTCTTCAGCTTAGTTCGCAGTGCCATAAATGCTGCAATTATTACGTTTCAAGATAAATTACAAATATCATTGCTTAGATAAGTCAAAAGAAAAACTAGTTTTTATCCTCTATCTCAAAGAATACTATCTATCTATCTCAAAGATTACTATCTATCTATCTCAAAGATTACTATCTATCTATCTCAAAGATTACTATCTATCTATCTATCTCAAAAATTACTATATATCTATCTCAAAGATTACTATCTATCTATCTCAAAGATTATTACAGGATACTTCTTTTTTACGATAATCGTGATGGTTGGCATGATTGCTGGAGACTCAGCTCCTATTTTTGTAAGTATTTTTTTTTTTTTTTACACACTTTTATATATACATTTTAAGCCGTTTATTTTGATCGGGGGTTGGATTATGGATATGTTCAGAACTTCAGGTTAAAAAATATGGAATTAAAGTGATTAAATACATATAAACTACATACAAACATACAAAAAAATTTATTTTAATTATGAAAATTTTGAAGTCCTAACTGAAGACGACATTTACATGGGTCTTTAGTCTATTTTTCTTGTCTTTACTTTCCAAAAGAAATCTTTTCATGCAATTATTTCCAAACGAAATAAAACCTTTTGGCCCAACCTGTCGTCGTTGACTTAGCCTGTTCCTCTTTAGTATTTATTCACTTTGGGTATGGATCGGGTTTATGCCTTTTTTAGAGAAGTCTCTAAGTCATTGTAATGTTGTGTTGAAGTTCTGAAACATGACAGAAAACTGGTAATTTTCGCATAAATTTTAAATTGGGTATTTTAAATGCGAATCAGATCCAAAAATAATCTTTGATTAATAGTTGTTAGAATCTAATTATATATCTAGATTATCCTAAATCCGTTGTTGTAATTTTGTGTAAAATAGCTAAAAAGTACATGTTGTTTTTTCGAAATAGCTCGTTTTAACAAGAAAATTAATTATACTCATTATAACTCACTGCAATCTACAATTGATACAATGAGCGTATGAATGAAAAGCTTATCAGAATATATTCATTTTGTCAATTCTTACCATGACACATAGGACAACTGCATTTAAAGAGAAGTGTTGTGGAAAAAACCAGTCACCCCCCCCCTGACCCCCTAAAATACTCTCCGTGGGGGAGGGGGGATAAAATATATATTTACATTGAAAATGCACATTTAAATTTAACCAATAAATACAATTTCGACTCCGTCTGTTAAATGCATGAATTTCTTAAATGTATTTTATTTTTCTTAATTTTTCTTAAAGGAATTGAGTCTTCGCTACAAACTCTGATTTTCCAATCCTAACATCTTTGCAACCCAATGTTGTAGACCTTAGATATTTCAAGCTATAAATTTTGAAAGATCAAATAATCTGAGTTTTAAATATCAAATATTTACACCAGCAGGTTGCAAAGATATAGGGGTTTAGAAAATTTGAGTTTGTGGCATAGACTCGACTCCTTTGTCTTTACAATTTAATGCTGAATCATTTTTGGCGTCCTTTTTTATATCTTGTCCTTTTTATATCGTGTCCTTTTTTATATCTAATCCTTTTATATCTTGTCCTTTTTATATCTTGTCCTTTTATATTTACTTTTATTTTAGTATCTTCTCTTTGATTTCTGTGGATTCTTGTTCTTCTTGAGTATGGGATCAAGAGAGATTGATATCTTCAGAAATTATCCTGAAAATCCGGTACACTTTTTAATAGAACGTTGCAATATTTATATAATTTGAGTTTTTCTCTATTTGTAATAAATATTATCTATCATTATGCTTAGAATTACACATGTGGAATAAAGAGTTACGCTGTATCTATAAAATTCTTAAAGATATATTTAACACAAATTATTTTTGTCTTCTTTCATGAATCAAAGCAATGAAGTAAAGACTACAGTGATAATCAATAAACTGTGTTCATGGACTATTTAAAGTTAGAACTTGAGTCTAAAAGACGCCTTCCTATTTCAAAGTTTTCTGGTTCTTATTGTATCTACATAAACTTAACTGAAAAACTACTAAAGTTGATCTTAATCAATGCAGTATATCGAATAGATTCTAGTACAATAGATGCACCGTACGCGTAGAATGTGTACACTCTCAGTACAGCTGTACTCTTACGTCACAAGTATCAACTTAGTTTTTGTATCCTACAAAATTATAAATAATAGTGATAATTTTAGAATAAAGTGCGAACCTTACAGTAAAATAAGTGCGATTGTTACATTGTATGTGTTCTTTATTTTCTGTTTTTTACACTTTTTTATTTAATCTTGGAAAACATGGCAACTAATGTGAGAAATTTTCGCTCGCCTTGTTATATTTGACACTTGTGACGTCGTGTATAATTGGTCCATTTCTCTGCATGCCACCTATTGTACTTGATAATCTAAAAGCAGTATATTATTATTAAATCCTGGACAAGTGCTTCAATAAAGTCAGTTAGGTTATAAAAAAGTTTTTCAAATAATTTTAAAAAAATGCATAATTAAAGATATGTTTAAGATCCTCCCTATCAGTGCGGCACTAGCTTTAGGAAGTATGGCCATCATCACAGCAGCAATATTTCTAGGTGAGATAATGAAAATAGTAAGCTAGGCATAATCATAAAAACAAATTATAAATTACAAAATTATATTTTCAGTTGATGTTGTCATCCGAATTGTTCGTCTCGTGAAGGGGAACAAAGACTGAGGAACCAAAATTAACAGAATTAACCGAAAAATCAGAATTTTGCTGATGCAAGCAAAACAAAAAACTGAAAAAGTTTCAATTCAATTTTTTTCTCTAGAAATTTATTGTATGCCCTTTTTCTTCTCTGTAGCTTCATTCGACGTAAAAGATGAAACCGAACTTATGATTACAATCTCATTTAACTTTTATGCAGTGTTTCCAATATCCCCATTTAATGATCTATAATCCACCCAGTATCTTGGAAGAATGAAAAAAATACTTTTCTTTTTACGTTTCTCTTAAACTCCCTGGTTCTTATATTAGCTTTTAAATAATCACTTGAAAATATAAATCTTGTTTATGTTCGGTACAGTTTTACGCAGAATTGGATCTTCAGATAAGGCAAACGAAATTCTTTAAAAATAAAAAAATCTATTTGAAAAAAATTTTTGAGAATTTTTTTATTTTTGGGGCTTAACCCTTACCGCGATTTTTTTGGTCACGCTATTAGTTTAGTGAGCTTTTCATGAAAAACCTGAAATTTGTTCAATGTCTCTTTATAGCTGATAAATCAGTGCCTAAACACGTTAATTAAACACAATATAAAAATAAAAGTTTAATATATGAATATTGTATTGGAAAATATATATTTAAAAAAATGTATATAATATTAGAACTGAGGAAAAGTTAAAAATATTGTACCATTCTTTATATACCGGTGTGTTGATAACTCTTAAAATAAAACATCCGGTTTTGCAAAATTTCGCAAAAAAATTGCGCCAAACGCACAAAAAATGCGCAAAAGATCTTTTTTGCTATTTCGTGAAAACCCTTGTGCCCCCCCNGTCGTAAGGGAATGTAAATTACCATTTTGTGAAAAACATTTTATTAATTTACCCAAATGTTTTTCTTAATTGATTGAGTCTTTTTTCAAAACAATTTGTATAGAAAATATGTGTATGATATTTTGAGATATTTGAATCCAAACTTTATGAGAACACACTTGGTCCTGCCAAAACCTAACTAAAAGTAAAATGGCTTGTATACAATTAAATTTTTTCTAATTTCTCAACAACTTAACAGCTCACTCTGTTTATACGTGTATATAGCTAAAGTGGCCGTGGCGTTGCCTGTGGAATTTTATTTTTTTTACTTTGGAAAACTAAATTTCGATTTTTGAAAAAAAAGTTGATTTAAAAAAAAAAATGTCGAAATTTTGTTATCCTATGTTACAAGCTGGGGAAGGAAGGCGGCCACAAGCCACAAGCCTGGCCACATATCTTTTTTTTGTATTTCGGGAGCCATTAGCCACAACAGAACGGTCTTCCATGGTAATTACCCCTAGAATTCTAGGGAGGGGTATTTACCCCAGGATTCTAGGGGGGGGGGGTAATTACCCCCAGGATTCTAGGGGGGGGGGGTAAATAACCCCAATAACCCCCCTTATGGCCGCCACTGGTGACTGGCCACAGCATTTGAGTCTTCATTTTACACATTGTGGGCACCGAGACAAACTGTTTTGGGTAGTCTACAGAATAATAAAAAATGAGAAAAACCACAATTTTAACGCCATTACCTGTGCGTTATAGTTTTACACAAAAATTAATTCTATTTTGAAATTAAAATCAAAGTCAAATAGTGCAAATTTTTGTTCATCGGCCTTCTTTTGAACTTTCAGTGTATGTTAAGGATCAAAATTTGTATTGTTAATAATTTTTCAAAAATAAGCCATTTTAGAGGAAGGATTGAGTTTATTTTTTGGGAAAATAAGTTTAGTGGTTCACATTAGAAGGAATTGTCATTATTTCAATTGAAAACTTAGATGTATTAAGTACTTTATAGATATCTTTTGCATGACGTTGCTGGATTTTTGAAAATCACAGTTTCAACGTCCTAAATTTATGATTTAAAAACGTAATAACTGCCGGAAGACTCACATGCTGTGACATGGAAAACCGTACGGTTGTGTATAGAACATAAGCTACTAGAAGATCACCGTTAGATAACTTGTGTATATGAAAAAAAATAAAACAAACAATGTTAAATAACAACTCAGATCAGTAGAACTGCAATTTAGATCTCCAGATGCAAGTAACGTCAGATGCAAGTAAACCAAACAAATCACCCATGGCTGCCGAAAGACAAAAAAGCTAATATGTGGCATGAAAGGCAAAAATGTTGTAGCTTATGGCCGCCTACCTTCCCCCCGATCATGTTTCCTATGGCACAAATGGGTTCCCTCATCACAATTCAGCCCATTCAGTTCAGCCGTTTGGTCCGCTATAGCTAACATACATATTAGATTGTCAATAGGTCTAAATTACGATTTTGGGACTAATTAGAACATTCAAGAAGAATTAATGGTTTTAAAAATTGAATAAGGCTAATTTAAGAATTTTCTTGTGGAAAATGAGACGTTGTGTCCCTTTTTTGAAAAAAAAATATTAAAGAACCAATTAGCTCTAATATCTTTCATATTAGGCTTATGCTGGGTTAGCTGGGTTTAGATCATATATTTGTTTATTTTAGATTTTTTGAAAAATCTTTCCCAATTTAAAAAAAAAGTTGTGAGTTTTATAAGTGCTGAAGTTTTTGGGTTTTAATCATAGATTTTCATTTAAATGGGGATTTAATTGATGAATTTTTGAGTGAAAATAATTTTTAATTTATAAACATGATTAAAAACAATCTTTTGAAGTCCAATTTGTATTTTTTTCCGATCATAAATTGTTTTCCCCCCACAGAAGTTTTAAGGTATGTTTGCGCATGGTGCGCTAAAAAAATTTCAGGATTTCACTTGCAGAATTTTAGTGAAAAAATTTAACCCATTAGTGCAGACGAGATCATTAACTATTAGTGAAGGTGTTTTAGAAGGGTCTTGCCCAAACAAAACTTGATTGTACTCATGCATGAAAAAATGATATATTAAATTTTTGAATTTTTGTACAGGGTGACCTGTAAAACATGAGAATCTAAAAAACTTTGGTAATTCATAATTATTAAATTATCTTCAAAACTTTACTTTTCATGTTTTAGGTATTTACATCTATAATAGAAGATTCCAAAAATATCTTTAAATTTTTTCTAGCAAAATAATTTGCAATTTTATAGATTCAAAAATAAATTACAGGGTGTTCTTTTGTTTTTTTTTCCGAATTCAAAATCTTGTTTTTTTGGGGGTTTTTTAAAATTGAAAATAAAAAAAAAACAATTTTGAAGTTACGTCAAATATAAAATATGTTTTGAAAACAGGAAATCCTAAGGAAAGCGCAGGAGAAGACAAGACAGCATTTAGTATAAGAAAAAAGGCACTTTAAAAAAACCTCACCCCGTCAAAATTGACCTTCTCGTCACTAATGGGTTAAAACGTACGGTAAAGTGCCGGAAAGAATAGTCAAAAAAATTTTTACTTTTTCCCCCCACATAATATACAATTATTTCATCGTTCCCCCACACCCTCCCACGCACGCAACGCATAGGGGGGACGTTTACCCACTGCCCCCCCTCGTACTGCTTGTACGCCCCTGTAGTTGCACCTAGCATATTTTTATCCCTTTCTAAACAATTCCATTTAATTAGGGAAGAATGCGTAAGTTGCCTAGAAATGAACCCAGCTGTTAATTAAAGGCTCGCTTGCTAACTTCACGTACAGAGTCCTCTAGCGGTGTTTAAATTCGACATTTTTAATTTTACAGAAATTTTTGGCAGCTGAACTTTTAAAATGTCCAAAAACAATTTCACTTTATAGAAAACTGTGTTCTACATTCTTACAATAATGACCGAAAATCTTGCTATTTAGATTCAAATCAAGTTTCAGTACGATATTATACATGAGTTTATTTCTCATTTTTCTACGTAAATGAGACATGTACTTTGGGGTTAATGGTTTATATTTTTCTATATTTCAGAAGGATGGCTGGACTTCTCGCCACCGGCAGGTTTTTAAGGCCAGCTGTTCGTCAACAGTGTTCATGTATTAGGTATAGACAATATAATTCTGTTCTGAGGTCCAGGTATATTTCTAGAGAACGATTTTTGGACCCCCCCAGCCCCCCCCCCTCCTATCAATTTTGTACATGGACCTTACAGAAAGTGTCTTGACTTAACCTATCCCGTGGCCGCAGCGCTCGGCCCACAAGCCTGTCCTAGCCGCAGCGCTCGGCCCGGAAAGTGTCTTAACTAATCAAACCCGTGGCCGCAGCGCTCGGCCCCCAAGCCTATCCTAGCCGCAGCGCTCGACCCAGAAAGTGTCTTAATCTATCCTAACCTAACAATAATAATCAAATACTAATTTACTATTTCGTCATGTACAAAATTGATTGGAGGGGGGGGGGGGGTCCAAAAATCGTTCACTAGGACAGACCCCAAAATCATTCTCTAGGAATTTATCTGGTTTTTGGCTAAAATTTGCTATTATTATTCAAATATGTTTATTTGTTTTAAATGCATGTTAACAAAATATGAGGCGCTTTTCAAATACCATTTTTACATTTTGAGAATAACTATTATATATTGAGAAATCAAGGTTAATGTTAATTTAGATTAATGTCTGGTGATCCATTTTCCGGAGGCAGTCCTCCCAACCTTACAGGAGGACAATACCAACATCCTACGTGAGTAATTTCAAATATCTTTACGGGGACTAAATCATTTTAGAATTTGGCTTCGTAGACATTACTTGTAATACAAGATGATATCAAGGTTCTTAGATTTTTCGCCCTTTTTTAATATTTTCACCTCAAAATGCATGTATTNTGAAAGATCCAAACCACCCCCTCTATTCCCAGTTGGAGGGGAATAAAAATTATAGAAGCTTATTCTTCTGTAGAAAGACTCGTAATATATTAGTGGCTTCTGTATATAATTTGCTTTTTTCGTTATTCCGCAAGTCACTTTTTCTGGGACTAAGAACTGTCCATTTTCAGATTAAAACGTCTCCTTAAAGGTAGTGATCGCGCAAAACGAAAGGGATTTAGGTTGACATCGATTTGAATTCGATATCGACAGCTACTAATTTTTGTTCCATCTGTTGCGTCTATAAGGAGAAAACTGTTAAAAACGAATCAAACCGAAGATGGTAGGACTCGTTACAAATTCACGGAGTATCAGTATTTCACTCTGATCGTAAATAATTCAATATAATTTAAAACATATCATTCATATTGCAACCTACAATATTCAAATTCAATTCGATGCTTTCGTATTTAGTTGATATTTGATTTTTTTTAGAAATGACCCCCCTCCAAGCCATCAGGAGATCACTGATTGGGTGAAGAAAGAAACTGGCAATAACTGGAGAAGTCTGGGTTGGAGCCAACTTAATCCTAAAGTTGACAGAGAGTTCAATGCCCGTGAGTTAAAATTATTATTTTTTTTTTAAATTGATTTTTCTGTTACGTCTTCAGCTTGCAAACCTTTCTAATATGTTTCTTATAGTCAGAGAATGCAAAAAAAAATTAAAAGTCAGAAATAACAGTACACAAATTTCGCCTATTTTTTATTTCTTAAATACAAGATTTTTCAGCGAATACTAGTTCAGTTTCTAATATTTTTATATTTAGTTGCAATGTTTATAATGGTAACAATTGGAACCGTTGGTGTTGGAGCATTTTGGGCGTATTCTCCGCGCAACGCTAAACAGGATTGGGCAATCAGAGAGGTTTGTTACTTTAAACAGTTAATGCTGAACATAGAATTAGATAAGGAAGAAAACCATGCTCCAATATTATTTTTTTCAGATATCACACTTTGCTCAACCCCCTTCAAATTGATCTAATTTGTTCTATTTTTTCATGTTTGCTGGACTCAAATCCCGGTTTTCAGTTTGCAATTTAAATTTATAAAAAATTGTTTTTCAAATGTTGTTTTAATATCCAAAACTAATCCTATGCATGATCTGACCCATCAATACTTGAAAACAAAAATTATAAATTTACTTTTAATTAATTTTAGGCTTATTTACTGCTTCGTGAGAGAGAGGCTGCCGGTGTTGAACCAATCAGCAGAGATCTTGTAGATCCTGACAAGGTGAAATATTTTAATAAGAATATGACAGGGGTATATATTCTTACTTCTTATTATCAAAATTTTACCAAATGGGGAGAGAAATAAAAAGTGAAATGTGAGTGGAAGATGAAAGGAATAAATGTGCCAACAATACAAATAATAATCAAAGTGTGAATATTCTTCCCCAAATCTAGCCTTGAAGTTTTGCTTGAATTTTCTTCCCTAAAGTTCCTTAAAAATCAAAAGAGGGAAATTCAATTTAGATTAAATTCTCTTTCCCACAAGTTTACTGGTAAGTCAATTCAGCTTCAGTTTTCTTCCTCACAATTGTCTTGGAAAATAAAAAAAGTAAAAAAAAAGTTCAATGAGATAAATTCTCTATCCCGAAAGTTTCCAAAAAATCTGAACAGGGAAGAGAATTTAGTTAATTAGCTTTAAAATCTTCATATTTTTCAAATTTATTTTTTTCCTGTTAGAAGAATAGTATTAATTTGTTACTTCTTACGATAGTTTTATTTGGTTTATTTACCAACAAATTCGTTGGGGGCAAATACACACTTAAAAACAGGGACGAAAAATCAAGTTACTTTATATTAAGGGGGGGGGGGGAGTAATAAAGTAATAATATACAGTCCGGGCTTATACCATTTTTGATGCAAGGTCGATGTAGTAACTTTTAAGAGTAATGTTTGAACCCCTGTGAAAGGGGGAGGAGGAATAGTGAAATCAACTTTTACCCAATTTCTTAGTCGCGCTACAATAGGTCACACTACGGTTACGCTCTACCACAGCAGTGTATATAGTTAAGAATTAGATACGACCTATGGTAGCTAGCATGTTTAAAAAATTGGGCTTTAAAGGCTTACTTACTTAGTGCAGGAAAATAGATTGTTTGTTATGTAAAAAAATATATTCTCACTCGTGACGAAAATCTGAATTATTTAATAATAATTCTAGCTTTTCATGTGACAGATTTCATAACTTCAAAATCAGTTTTTTTAATTACGAACAAAATTCGTTAAATATAAAATAATAAATGTTTAATTTTAACTATTTTAGATTCTTGCCGCCTTGCCATCTGACGAAGAACTTAAAGAAGCCGGAGTTGTAATCAACATTTAGATTTATTTATATTCTATTCATCCAGATTTTTTGTTAATATTAATCCGACAAGATATAATATTAAATCAGATTAAGATTAAAGCTAGTGATTTCAGACAAATCAATGTGAGATATTGAGACGAGTTTTCAATAGATTTGTGCGAACTCTAGATTGAATGGTACAACTAGCTGAATCAGGTGAGCTGAGTTCTATACGTATGATAATTTATTACTACTCTTAAAGAGAATATTTAACTTAACCAAGGCTACGCTCGGGATGTTTTGCAGGCAAAATTGGTCAGGGAAAATTTGAAATTATCCGAAAAAGTAATTATCTTCCAAGTATTGAAATAGAAATAAACAAATTTTTTTCACGAAAAATTAACGCAGCGCTGAATGTTATTTTACTTAAAATCTCACTGTTAAAGGAATTATGTTTTGGTAATAACTTGAGGTAAAAGTTATAATATCGTACAATCTTAAATGTAATGTCCGCTTGTCAGATGCCACTTTTTGCCTTATTCAGAAACTGAAGTATTGTTCAATCCTTACCGAAATGTCCCTTTTTATACTTGCACTTATTGTCCTCTATTTAGACTTTACTGTAATGTCCTCTATATAGACTCTACTGTAATGTCCTATATATAGACTCTACTGTAATGTGTCCTCTATTTAGACTCTATTGTAATGTCCTCTAAATAAACTCTACTGTAATGTTCTATATTTAGACTCTACTGTAATGTAATGTCCTATATTTAGACTCTACTGTAATGTCCTCTATATAGACTCTACTGTAATGTCCTCTATATAGACTCTACTGTAATGTCCTCTATATAGACTCTACTGTAATGTCCTCTTTTTAGACTCTACTGTAATGTCCTATATTTAGACTCTACTGTAATGTCCTCTAGTACGGGGTTTCCAACCCTGTACCCCGGCCAGCAACAACAGCTCATGGGGTCCATACACAATATACCAAGGTAATAAAATCAAAATTATTTATTAATATGTGATTTTTTTTCCGGCTTCAGGAGGGAATGTTAATTTAAAACTTTCCAGTTATTTTGGGGTAATAACGGTGGTATACTAAATCTGATAATAACGTGCCCCCCTCTCCCCTCCTTTGCGGTCTAATTATAATATTAATACCTTGTCCAAAAGTCCCCCTTTTTTTTAATTATTGCCGGAGGATTTCTTGTTTATCAAAAGAAATCAAACTTAAATCCTTCTTTTTCAACGCTGTGAACATAAAGCTCAATCGATATGGCGTAGCGATTTCCCAATAGTAATTTTGTTCTCCTCTCTTTCCGCTTTTTGAAGCCGGCTTCTAATAGAATAAAGCGGATCAAACTATTTTTTTATTCTGAGGCCGAATTTAAAGAATTTAAACCGCGTCGTTGAACCGCCAATTTAGCGCCGACTCAAATCTCGAAACACTTTTACAATTTCAAGTGAACCAACCATAATTGAGCCGCGGCTCAAATTCTTTAAATTTGGCCCGGCAATGTAAATATCTGTTGTTTCAGGGGCTTGGGCCAAGCACTGCACTCTCAAGGTCTTCAGGGGAGAATAACACCGACACAGTTCGGGAACAGGTAGAACAAGAACACCATTTATATATACACTAGCTTGGGAACCCAGGGGAGTCATATCAATATTTGAGGCAAATCGGTCCAGGGGTTTCTAAGTTATGATCGGAAAGCTAACAGACTAACAGAGATTACAATTTTATAAATATACCAGCTTAGGAACCCAGCGCAACCAGGTTACTAAAAGTTACTCCCGTCGTTTACCCGCGCTAAAACAATTTTACCGGGAAACTAAAGTCGACCCACTTAACTAAGAGCTCCCCAATCAAAATTTGAGACAAATTGGTCCAGGGTTCCTGAGTTATGATCGTACAAGCAAACAAACAAACAGACAGAAAAACAGAGATTACAACTTTATATATCTAGATAAAAGAAAAAGATATAGATACATTTCTTGTTTATACACATCACGATTTTCTCCCTTAGTGTCAAAATATTTACTTTAAACTTTAAGGTAGAAAAAGAAAAACAAAGCGCTAAACCATCTCCTTATATTTTTTTTAGCGTCAAAATATTAACTTAACTGATTGTTTGGGTTCTAAAGATCCAGTTAGAGCAGGGGCGGGACGGTGATTCCTGCGCCTGGCGGCGGTCTGGGGGGTCCACATTGGGGCCTCTTGCAGATTTCACTTCCTTATGAATCCTTAGGAATAAGGAAAACAAAAAGAGCTTAACGATCTTAAGAATATCTATTTCGGGTCTGAAGCTTTTTCTTTAATAATTATGTTCTTTCTACATTCGCTCTCCTCTTGATTTACTGTTATTTCTTGTTTATCAAAATATATATTTTTGTTTATGCAAGACCATTAATATCTAACTGGAAAATTCAGATTAATAAAACTATAAATCTTGTGAATGCAATACCAGAGTGAAAACCTTTAGAATTGTGGATATGGAGATCAATGCATTGATCTCTTTTTTTATTTCAAGATTAAGAATATTTTAATCTTAGTGTTTATCTAGTAAAGTAGATAACATTCAAGCAATCAGGTGGTTTAATTTTGCGTACCATCTAATGAGAGAACTCTCATTCGTCACAATCCAGTATGGATATCTAAAAAAAAGGTTAAAAAAGCGGATTAAGTAGAAATCAGAAGTGTCCACAGTGGATTTTCAGATCAAGCGATCGGTATTAATTCGAAAGTGTTCAGCTCAGATGATAATAAATCTTATTAATAAATGTAGATAAAATTTTTTAATTACTTGACATAAAAAAATTTGATTACATAATATAAATAAAAATTTAATTACTAAAAATTTAATTACATAATATAAATAAAAATTTAATTACATAATATAAATAAAAATTTAATTACATAATATAAATAAAAATTTAATTACATAATATAAATAAATAATATAAATAAAAATTTAATTACAAAATATAAATAAAAATATAAATACAAATTTAGACCTGGGTCCAATCTCGGAATGAACTTCATGGGAAATAATTCTGCGAGTAGAAATCCTCTTTTCTCCAGGAAAATGGGGTAGGTTGCACAACAATTTAATTTTTAATTTAAAAATCGTATCTTGTCAACGAGTATTAAGGGGTATATATGTTCAAAAAGAATTTAAAAGGGGGTTGGGTGGGAATTAAAAATGATTTAATATTTTCTTTGACATGACATTTAGCAAACAAAGCCCAAAATAAAGAACATTCTTTTCAGTTACTGGGGATTTTTTTTCAAGAAAATAGATACCCCTGTGTCCTTTGATTTAAAAAAAGAAATAAGCAGTATTTCTTTATTACACGTTTTTACCCTCGTTCTCATATGTGTTATTAGTTGCTAATTGTCATCTTCTCTCCGTCGAAGAAAATGTTTTCGAAAAATTATATGGGTATGGGAAAATTCTAATCAATCGAGGCATATTCGGTAATTTTTTCTTATCTTTTACTGATGCAGATCGATTTCTTTACTAATTCTTGCAGTACCCCATTCATTTTTCGCAAACATTCCCTTTAATAATTGCCTCGTTTCTTGTAACAATAAATAATTTGTCCTCTCTAATTGATTGTATGTTCTAGTGAGGGACCTGCGTCCTTTGATCCAAGTGATTTCCCAAGTTTAGCACCTGGTGTGGGATCTGGTATTGGTGGGATGCCTGGTAGACCTAACTATGGTAATTATTTCAATCTTTTGCAGTAATCATAATCTAGAGAACATGATTTGAGAACGGATATAAAATTTACTATCTCAAGTAAATTGAATTTTAATAGAATATTAAGGTTAAAAGAAAAGATTTGTGAAAAAAAATGATTCGAATTATTTACCCATGGGTTTCCTTGAAAAATTTCAGCCAATTTGGTCCAGCACTTTGGCCAGCTATAGCTAAGATATATATTATATATACGAGGTTTGTTTGATCAAGAATGGGAATTATATTTAATTTCTTTATGTATTGGAGAATATCCGTGACTAATTGCTTGTTGGAAAGGAAAAGTTGTAAGCGTTTGATTGCACTACAATATAATCTGCTGGGTAAAAAACTCAGTCTTCCACCCGCAATTGAGTAGAACCAAATCAGCGTACCCCGGCCAACAATTGATTGATTGATTGATTGGTCGATCGATGATTGATGATTGATTGATCGATTGATTCATTGATTGATCGATTCATTGATTCATTGATTTAAATGATTAATTGTGTGATTAGTTAGTTGATTCCTCTATACTGTTTAGTTGGTATGGTTAAGCAACCAACAGATCATTCCTCGGATTTTCAAATGTCTAATGAAGATTTCCCAGCACTTCCAGGAGCTCCTCCTAGGTTAGTACACTATACAGTAAACACAGCGTACAAGTAGGTTATAACTATTTTCTCAAAGGCATCTTCCCAAGGGCGATTTCCCAAGTGACAATTTTCCAAGTGGCAACTTCCCTTATGTGCACCAAGCGGGAACTTTCCAAAGGTTAGGTTAGGCTTTTGGAGGCACCGCAGGCTGTAAATGGAGCTCAGCACTGAGGATCCGATTGACAGACTTGGGAAATTGCCGCTTGGGAAATTGCACATTTGGAAAGTTGCCGCTTGGCAGAAAAAAAAACCTTTGGGAAAGCATCTAACATCTACAAGTATGCATTGCATAAAATGCAATATATGTTAAATTAATCTATCATTTTCCCCCCTCCTCACAATAATGTGGTTTTTACATTACCTGAAACTTTTCAAATAATAAGATTGTTAATGGGGATGTTACACATATTTGCGCGAAGCAGCTAAACAATTTGGGTTGTTTCGTTATATTGGTGTAAAAAATGAATAATTTGTAAAAAAAACACATCTACATTGAAGAACTATTTAAGTGGTCACGGTTCATCCGGGAGTATTATGGACTCCCTGAAGATGCCTGTAATGACTCCAGAACAAGAGTTAAAACATCAGCAGCAGGCTAGGAAGGGAATTCAAACTTCTCCAGACGGTAATATTTCTTTCAGTTATGGGACAGTTTACGAAATTCAAGTAACTTTAATAGTGACCAAGTATTTTTAAACAGTGCTTAGGATCCGGATCCGTTGGATCCGCAAGATTTTGGCTTCCTGGATCCGGATCCGCAAAAATATGCGGATCCACGGATCCGGATCTAAGGGGTAAAATATCAAGCAAAAACTACAAAAAAAACTTTTTTACTACAAAAACCCAAATCTGAACTTTTGAAAAAAAGAGAGATTATAAAAATTTCCTCATTTCTGAATGGTTCATCAAGTTTTAGGACAAAAATAAGCAAAAAAAGTNTATGGGCCTGCCTTCATTTTTGGTTCAAATCTTCTAATTTTTTGGCTGCACGCCTAATTAGTGATCGAAATTCCTAAAATAAAATAAAATTGAATTTTAATGATGAAGAATACTTCTAAGGTCGATCTATCCATTTAATATGGTAGTGTACTATACTTTTCATAAGTAATGTACTAATTATTTCAATTTCCAAAGATTTAAAGTTTTATGAACCCTAATAACATGGATCTTCAAACTTTTTTGATTTGCCAATTTTCTATATGCCATTAAATTTATGCCCTAGCTTGGCCGGATTTAAAAAAAAAAACGGTCACAATTTCCTGTAATTGAACATTTAAAGGAGAATTAGACTTGGAAATGGATTGAGAGGTGGTACGGGTGAAAAATAAAGAGACTGTGGTTCGGAAGTAGAAATAAAGTGGTTGACCCAACTCGTGTCAGTCTGTTTTATTTTTTGAATATTCATTAAGCTGGAAAATTATTTCATGATTCAAATGAAACCGAAATAATTGATATTTTCTTCAGAATTGTTAACACTAATTGGAATAAATACGACTTTTTATACACTGGAAGTAGCAAGTAAATAAGAAATAAATCTAAACTGATTGTAAAACACGGTTCTCAAATGAGATGACGTTGCAAATCTCATATTTAAATCTTCATGCAGGGTTCTCAAATGAGATGACGTTGCAAATCTTATATTTAATTCTTCATGCAGGGTTCTCAAATGAGATGACGTTGCAAATCACATATTTAAATCTTCATGCAGGGTTCTCAAATGAGATGATGTTGCAAATCTCAAATTTAAATCTTCATGCAGGGTTCTCAAATGAAATGTCGTTGCAAAGCCCATATTTAAATCTTCACGCACAGTTCTCAAATGAGATGACGTTGCAAATCTCATATTTAAATCTTCACGCTCAGTTCTCTTTAAAATAAAACATTTTAAACTTTAATGAATTGATAACTGAAGCTCATTAACCCAGCTGTACATCTTTTTCATCTATTTGTGGCAGATTTTTGGCCAGTGACTCAAATACTATTTGTGGCAGATTTTTGGCCAGTGACTCAAATACTATTTGTGGCAGATTTTTGGCCAGTGACTCAAATACTATTTGTGGCAGATTTTTGGCCAGTGACTCAAATACTATTTGTGGCAGATTTTTGGCCATGTAACTCAAATACTATTTGTGGCTTATTTTTGGCCATTGAATCAAATAATATCTATTTGTGACAGATTTTAGGCCAGTGAATCGAATAATATCTATTTGTGACAGATTTTAGGCCAGTGACTCAAATTCTATCTATTTGTGGCAGATTTTTTGCCAGGAACTCAAATACTATCTATTTGTGGCAGATTTTTGGCCAGTAACTCAAATACTATCTATTTGTGGCCGATTTTTGGCCAGTGACTCAAATACTATCTATTTGTGGCAGATTTTTGACCGTTGACTCAAATACTATCTATTAGTGGCCGATTTTTGACCGTTGACTCAAATACTATCTATTTGTGGCTGATTTTTGGCCAGTGACTCAAATACTATCTATTAGTGGCCGATTTTTAGCCAGTGACTCAAATACTATTTGTGGCAGATTTTTGGCCAGTAACTCAAATACTATCTATTTGTGGCAGGTTTTTGACCAGTGACTCAAATACTATCTATTTGTGGCAGATTTTTGGCCAGTAACTCAAATACTATCTATTTGTGGCAGATTTTTTGCCAGTAACTCAAATACTATCTATTTGTGGCAGATTTTTGGCCAGTAACTCAAATACTATCTATTTGTGGCAGATTTTTGGCCAGTGACTCAAATACTATCTATTTGTGGCAGATTTTTGACCGGTGACTCAAATACTATCTATTTGTGGCAGATTTTTGGCCAGTGACTCAAATACTATTTGTGGCAGATTTTTGACCAGTGACTCAAATACTATCTGTTTGTGGCAGATTTTTGGCCAGTGACTCAAATACTATCTATTTGTGGCTGATTTTTGGCCAGTGACTCAAATACTATCTATTTGTGGCAGATTTTTGGCCAGTGACTCAAATACTATCTATTTGTGGCAGATTTTTGGCCAGTGACTCAAATACTATCTATTTGTGGCAGATTTTTGGCCAGTAACTCAAATACTACCTATTTGTAGCAGATTTTAGGCCAGTGACTCAAATACTATCTATTTGTGGCAGATTTTTGGCCAGTAACTCAAATACTATCTATTTGTATCAGATTTTTGGCCAGTGACTCAAATACTATCTATTTGTGGCAGATTTTTGGCCAGTAACTCAAATACTATCTATTTGTGGCAGATTTTTGGCCAGTGACTCAAATACTATTTGTGACAGATTTAAGTGTCTTGGTTTGACAAGTGGCATATTTTCGGTGTAATAGGTGTATAATGTTCACCCAGATAATCCTAGATAAACCCCTTCACTAACCACAATAAGATCACAGTATCATGTTTATTAGGTATGGTAACAAATATTCCGTCAACGATGGTTGTTGATCAGTTTGGAATGATTGGTCTGCTCACCTTTATCCGGGCAGCAGAGACAGATCCTAACCTGGTTTCTCTTGCTCTGGGTACAGATCTTACCACGCTAGGACTCAACCTTAACTCAGAGGTAAACTTCAGGAGATTTTTTTTAAAGAAACATTAAAATGTACCTTGTAATTCCAAAGGTACATGCAATAAATATTTATAAAGAAAAGTTGCCATATTTATTCATGAGAAGTGTGATCAAAACTGATGTTAAACAAAAATCTGCTCATCTTATCGTTCTGTTCCAAAATTATCAGATTAATTATCACATTCTAGTCAAGTGTCTATTTGCCGTTGCGTAAACACTGAATATTACATTTGATGTAAGTTTTTAAAGGGATAATTAACGTAATCCAAAGGAACCCTTTATTTAAAGAGTGCCATCAACGTTTCACGCAATCGCGAGAGATTTTTTAATGAATTTGTTAATATTTGATTACATCCGGCAATTTAAAGATTACTTTAAATTACTCTGCAAATTTTGTACTATATAAAACAACAAGCTGCAGTGCCCGGTGTTGCCCGTGAAATAAAAAAAATAGAATTTTATAAAAAAAAATAAAGAAAAAAAAATCTATTTTTTTCTTATGTTATTCACAGGGTACTCATGAGTTTCCTAAAAAAAATGTAAGACAAGTTGGTCCAGACGTTTGGCCAGCTAAAGCTAACATATATATTTGGGCTCTCCATGGGGGGGGGAGGGGGGGTCAGATTCAATACCTTATACCCTTTATATATGAGCGAAGAGCTTTGTTATAAAGATAAAGATTTCTGTTTTTTAGGTTACTTTGTTTCCAACATTTGGTGGACCTTGGGCTGATACTCCTTGTAGACCTCAGGATATTGATTTCCATGTACCTCACGAGTACCTAACAAATACTACTATCAAGTACCTCACGAGTACCTTACAAATACTACTATCAGGTACCTCACGAGTACCTTATAAATACTACTATCAGGTACCTCACGAGTACCTAACAAATACTACTATCAAGTACCTCACGAGTACCTTACAAATACTACTATCAGGTACCTTATAAGTACCTTACAAATACTACTATCAGGTACCTCATGAGTACCTTACAAATACTACTATCAGGTACCTCACGAGTACCTTATAAATACTACTATCAGGTACCTCACAAGTACCTTACAAATACTTTTATCAGGTACCTCCCGAGTACCTTATAAATACTACTATCGGGTACCTCATAAGTACATTTGTGTGTGAATAAATCTTTATATAATATACAAAATATATTTAAGGTTAGAATCAAGTGTTTGGGTTTATAATAATTTTCATTCATTCGTCATTATTTATCAAAATAATGACGAGATAAAGAGATTACAATACACATCAATTTTATTTGACGAATGCAATTTTTTGGGGGATTATTAATTATTAATTATCATAGAATAAACACGTAATTTTATCCTTAATTTCAAATCTGACATTTTTAACTTACATTATATTGTTTTCAGGGATAAATTAGCACCTGTAAAACTGAACAGATACAAAGACGACATTCTATTCTTCATGTTCTACACTAATGTTGGAGATGTTCTACAGATGGCCGCTGCAGCAGAGCTACACAACCGGGATTGGAGATACCACAAGGTAACAGCACGCATTGCCCCCCCCTCGGGATCTTTTATTAAAAAGCATTCCATCTTATTTAAAATGTAGGGCTACCAATGAGTATCCACAAAAGAATTCAGCCCATTCGGTCCAGCCGTTTGGTCGGCCAAAGGGAACATACACACGAATGTCTTGCTTTATTATATAGATTATTTTTTTATGATAAAGCCGATGTTTCAGGAGGAAAGATTGTGGATAACCCGTGCTCCTGGGATGGTTCCGTTAGAGAAGACACAAACTTACGAGAGAGGGACATACTACTTCTTCGATGTATCAACGTGGAGGTAAATATTATAAAAATTTGTAATTTATCAATATAAAGTTGTAATCTCTGTTTTGGTGTCTGTTTGTATGTCCGATCAGAACTCAAGAACCCCTGGGCCGATTTGCCTTAAGCTTTGATTGGGGAACTCTTGAGAGCCATGGGAATGTTTTAGTTTGGTTTTGCGATTCTAAGTTCAGTGTTAAATATACCTAAAATTGTAATTCACGACCAAGTGTGGGTAAACGGCGGGAGTATCTATGAGTAACCTGGGCAACGCTACCCAAGCTATTGATTAATATGTTCATTATCAGTAATTTTTAACTTTTTACCCTGAAAAGGAATTTTGAAATATCCATTATATTTACTTGTAGAATCCCATTTTAATACTCAATAGATCTTATTTGCAGTAAATTTTAATGTGGATTCGGATCCGGATCCAGGTTTTGAACATTTCTTTAAGATTTACTGAATTTTTTTGACAAAACAGAATTGTCAAACTATTTTTCTTCTTTTTTTGTCAATTTTTATGCTAAAACTTGATAAACCAATCAGAGACCAGGAAATTTTGATAATCTTTCTTTTTTCAGCAGTTCAGATTTGGGGTTTTTAGAGTAAAAAGGCCAAATCTTGCTGATCCAACGAATCCGGATCCGGATCCTAAGCACTGCTTATTTGTAAATCAATAAATCACTTTTTAGGAAAGTTCCCAAAGAATTTCATTTGGATTATGACAAGCTAGAGGACCGACCCTCCCTGGCATCTGCTCCTCCTGGTTCTGGACCTTCTCCTGGTCCTACTGGAGGATCCCCTGGTCCCATCGGTCCACAGAATACACAGCAAGGAGGGTTGTAATAACATGCTCACAATACAACATTCATATACAACACTCAAAGGTAATTTATCATAATTCATTGATGATAACATTGATAGATTTTAAAAATGTATTGCCGGAATTGTAATCCGTGACCTTCATCAAAGAATGTTTTTTTAACTGGTATAACTTCAAAGTTTTCAGATTTTTAATACTTTCCTAAATTCATAAATTTTAAAAGTGTCTACTATAAACCCCTACAATCCTTGTCACATAAGGATACAAATTATACAATAAAGTATATAGTATATACCTCTGTTACCAAGGTTATAATGCAAGGAAAGTTATTTCAGAGGTGTACGCATCTTTTGTACTGCAGTGTACTATCTCTGGGCGTTAATGTAAACACAAGAAGGATGTCGAAGTCTGACATGGGATCTATCTTTCACAAAAAATCGATTAAATATTCTGGTCATAGGAAACTATTATGTGAATATCAAAATTATCAAAATTCAATGCTAACCTCCTCGGATACTAAACAAACACTGATGCATATGATCTATTCTCGTTCATAAATTCCGCCCAGAGAGAACTGGTTTTAATATGCACGCAGAGTATACGCAACTGCAATTAACTTTCCTTGCATTATAACATTGTCTGTTACTATCTTTTTTATTATTAAAATTCATATGAATGAATAAATTTAAAATTAGTCTTTTGATTTAGGTGACCTGATGAATTCATTGCTCGACAAAGCAGAGATCCTATTTAGCATCCTTATAGGACATTTTAGACCAATAATTTATTTCAAAAATATATTTTTCCTGATCCGTCAATCCATCTCCCCTACTCCATCCTGAACCCTCTGCTCTTGGTTGTGAGGAGTGACTCAGCTGGAATATTGAGTTAAAATGTAAATTGAGTTCAACTCAACTCGTGAAGCCTGTCCGTTTGTTTTCGTCAACCTGTTCATGATCATAACAGCGGCCCAACCAACTTTGTTATATTTTGTTAAAAAGTATTATACATAATTTTTAAATATTATAGAATTGCATTTTTGAACCAATAATGAGTTTATTATTTGAACAGTTAGTGATGATTAAAAGTTCTTATTTCCGGAGAGAAAATTTCTTTATCACATAATCGAAACTTTATTGTTGTGATCCTCGGGACATAGTAATGATCTCCATGTTATGTAGATCTGCGGATTAATATTTTGTCTCCGATATCCCGTAATAGTAGACGCTTATTTTTTTATCAGGCAATGATTCCTGTAAATCTTTAAAGTGCCCACACTGGATATCGATATCAAGTGCTCAAGATATCTACACAAAAGTTCTGATCTCATTTTTGTGACATTACTCACTATTTTTGTGACGTTACAGAATATTTTACAAGGATTGAATTATTTTAAAAGATTTTGTAGAACAGTACATAGTTTGAGTCTTCTGTTGGTAGTTTTTAAACAGGACGGCACGCGCTGTAGATGCTAATTGATAATTTAAATTTGCGCGGTTTGTTTGATATAATTATCAAATGCAAGTTAAGACGCCAAGGATAAGGCTTCTTCATGTAAAGAATTCAGATGTTTCTTAAATCGTTCCTATTAATTTTATTCTAGTAAGTAAGTAATTATTTATAAAATATAACACAAAACACTAATTGTTATGTGTTCTAGTGAAATTTATTCACTAACCTCAAAAACATGAGGTTGTGGGAAAATTTCTTCTAATTCCAATTTATGGTTTCATCATTATAGTTAATAATGGGTATATATTATAACTAGCACTGGTGACGGATTGTTTGTATTTTTCGACCTTTCTTTGCCAAATCATATACCTCCATGACCTATATAAGACCAAAAATCGAATTTAAATCTTAGTCGATTACCAGAAACAAAGAGTTCACTACGACTCACAGGGCGGATATAGAATTTAAGTGAGGGGGGTGCTAGAGTTATTTTGGAACAAATAAATTCAGATTTAGGAAACAAATGCGGCGCTGCAGGCGAACATTTTTTTAAGATAAATATTTTTTTCTGTTTTGCTATAGGTTTTCTTTTTTTAGTGCTTTTGAGAAGCTGTTCTAAAATTTCAGGGGGGTGCAAAGGTCCTGCCACTCCCCCCCCCCGGCCCCTTTCTAATTCAGACTTTAAACAAAATGCTATCCACAACCAGGGGCGGCTAATTATATTTTCCAGAAGGGGGGGCGGGATAATTGAATTTTTGCAGGGAATTAGGTCAAATTTATGTAAAGACCATGACCAGATGGTGGGTGAAAGGTGGAAATGTGAACCCTAAAGTTGGATTTTATAAAAAAAATCTTCATTATCTGTACAAATGGCGGTGCAGGCTAATATTCCGTTAACCTCTTCTTAAAAATCGAAAGAAAAAAGGGCTAGAAGGGGCCCGGTTTCTCTTATTTCGCTCTTAAATTTTCCAGGGATGGGACGTCCCCCCCCCCCTATAAGCCGCCTCTGTGGGCATTGGGCAACTCGGGCAACCCTGTATACTCGAAAGAAGAAAAAATACAGCTTTATAAATTATCATAGTTTTGCGAGGTAAGTCGGTTAAAATAAAAGTTGGCTGTAAGCAGAAAACTGGAACTGGATTTGCGAGGGTAGGTACGAGTCTAGTTGGAGGAGGGAGTACTAAATATATAAACCAGCTGATCACATGACTTAGTCAAGTGTCAAGTAAGTTAAAGTCATATATTTCAGTCACAATTTGACTGACAAAGATATATTTCTGTATTAATTAGAAAAATTAAAAATTTGATAGAGCAAAACAATTTCTTATTTTAATAGATAGAATGTATAAGTATATCTGATATTAAATAGTAGCTGAAAATATCATAAAACATCATGATTGGAAAGGCCGAGTTGGCGGTGATTATGGTATTGCTTGGGTGCTGCAGGTAGATTTTATATTTGATTTCAGCATTTTATAACTTTTATACACCAACACTCAGTAATGAACAAGGGTCTTGAAATAATTTGTTGTTCTTTGTGTGGGGGGGNAGATTTACAAAGACTACTGTACGGAATTCATAATGTCTGCTTCATTATATTCAAGAATCTGTGCTAAACTTCTTTCTTTCTTTACCCAATCAACAATATAAAGCCTTTTTCAAAATATTTTAAAAACAGAATACTTATTTTAACGAGGTAGGACTTTGTCTTCACAGTCTGCGGATTATTTAATCTATTGACTACTTTTCAGTAATGTGGTTTTCCTGGAGTTATTAATTCAAGAAGCGCCTGGCATTGGAAATCTTGTCACATTTACTCAATTTCTTATAATTGCCATAGGTGAGTTAAGTTTCTAGGATGAGAAAAAACTGGGGTTGAGTCTGTCCTAGAGAACGATATTTGCCACCCCACCCAACCCCTCCTATCATTTGAGTACATGACTAACTATTTAACCATTTTTATCAAAATTATTAGTACACATTAATCGTGTTTAGATCTATAATTCTATAGTTAAGTCATCAACATTCAACAATCTACTAACCTACTGAGATAGCAACTTATAAATTCAAAAAACTTGCTAGGGTTATTAATTTATGATTGTTCATGGGATCAATGTCCGCAGCTAAAATATTGAATTTAGAAACATAATTAGCTGAACTTCCTTGCAACAAACCAGAACTATCAGACAGAATTTAAAAAGAAGCAGAGATTAGCAGAATTCTGAATCAATAAATAGATCCCCCAGAGTATAATTTTTTTTCAATATTAATCAAGATATAATTTTAATTGAAATCGAATTGCCCACAGCTTACAATTGAATTGAATTTTCTTATCATTAATTATCAAACCCACGAGTCTAATTTGTGATTTATCATGTCTGCCAGCCAATGTATTTCAGTTTACTCCAGGTTCCTTCAGATTATTAGTAAAACCCGGCAATAAATTTGCTGGGTTTTCGCTGAAATGGATAAACTAAAGAATTTCAATGCCAGTATTTGGGTAAATTGTAATGTATGAATGTGGTCAAAAGAGCGTTATTTGAAATAATGCTAAGAATATGAATACAAACCTCAAGACTTAACAAATAATATAATTTCTGTTTAGAGGGATTTGTGTTCACCATGAAGTGGGGAACAGTTCCTCTGAAAGTTCCATTCAATGCTTGGTTTACTTTAGTAATCATGTACTTTCTTGGTAAGTTAATTAAAAAAAATATTTATTTCTCTTTACTTTCAGTTTAGTCACGTTATTATCAACTTTTTTTTCAAAAATTATATATGATCTGGCACCTTTGTTATTTTTGGCTAGATCACCCCAAATTTATCTTTTGAAAATATCTGTCAGAGCATGAAAACATTTTTATTTTTATTAATCTATAGAGGTCATTGTAGTTTTGAATTGGGTGCCTCTAAGTCTAATAGGAGATAAATAAAGTTAGAGCCGTCGGAGGTGTCAGATATTATGTAGCCAGACCCAGACCGGAGATAAGAAAGATTTAACTTAATATCCCGTTCCTCTAGGCCATCTTTACTTACTTGTTATACTTGAAGTCTTGAATCAACCCCACTGATAAGGACATTGTAGTTACATCTTTCAGATCCTCCAGTCTGGTACATTCATTTGTTCTTTCAGTGCTCATTAAACCTCATCAAATTTGTATACATGCAAGATTAGCTCCGGTATTGGCTGAGATATTGAAAAATGCGTTAGATGCCAAGCCTCCTTAATAAAAAATCAGAGGCCAGATTTAATGAATTGCGAATAGTAGTTTAACTATGTGTCTTTGAGTGTGCAACCCCTGCTTGCATGCCATTTGATATTGATTTATATTTACTTGCAGTTAGTGTTACGAACAACTACGCGTTAAACTTCAATATCCCTATGCCGCTGCACATGATATTCAGAGCTGGTTCCCTTCTTGCAAATATGATCATGGGATTTGTTCTTCTAGGTAATACCTTAACTTTTCACGTTTTAATAAAACATTATGATTTTACATCATATCTTAAGTATTTTTAGTTTTCAAGATAGGATAGGTTTTGATTTTGCGTTTGGATGAAATAAACCATTTGAGGGTGGTTAACATTTTTTCAAATATAGCGCGTTTTAAAAAGATCATTTTACCGCGTGTAATTTTTAGGGACCAAAATTCTGATATTTTGATACATGTCAAAGAACAGACTTAGGATTAAAGAATGTGAACTTAAAAAGTACAAAGCCCCTTTGGCATTATAACTTAAACAACTGGGCCCAATTTCGAAAATTGTTAATGCCTAGAAATGCCCCTAAACCCTCCAATAATCGTTTTTTTTGTACCGTCGCGTATAAATTATCGAGATTTTTTTTGTCGTAGTCAAAATTGGTTGAATTTTATAAACATATTTTTTCCGACTTGTTTGGACAAATTTACATTCAACATACTGCACAATGTGGTCGTAAAGATAAGAATTCTAAGAACTGATAGTTAAACCTCATCTTTTTTATATAATCAAATCTTTTCTCATTTTTACCTGTTTAAATATTCATTTCAGGGGTGTATATTGTTCAGAATCCCCCCCCCCCCCCGGGGGAAAGGTAGAACAATGATTTTGATGACTGGGGGGGGGGGGTGAAAACTTGGTCAAATAAAGGCAATTTTGTATTAGTTTTGATACTTTTTTACCAAAAAAATCATTGATTTTCTCCTCAAAATCACTTATTATTCCCAATTCAGCGAATAAAACCCTTAAAAAAACATAAATAACTTCTGGAGAAAAAAAGAACTTTAACAGAGGGGGGTAAAGAAGATGATTTTTTGAGAAAATATGCAGTACAGTCAAGAGAATATTAGAATCACTATTTAATAAAAAAAAATCCCCACCAACACAACTTGTATTGGTCAATTTTTGCATATAAAAGAAACAGATGCTCTATTTTTTAATTTATTTTTTTGTATGGGGAGGGAGGGTGAGTTTTTTCTTGTTTGTAAATATTGTGTATTGTTAGGTAAACGGTATACCTGGAGTAAATACAGTTCAGTTCTGATGATCAGTTTAGGGATTGGAACATGTACTATCATGTCCACGCAGAATAATAAAACTAATATATCAGGTAACTTTATAAATCTACAATTCTAAACTAAGTAGGTTGACTTTATTAGAGAAAGTCTGGTTTCCAGATAAAGCTGGGTTTCCCAGCTAGTTAAAAATAGTTTTTGTACCCGACGGTTGTTCGTATAAGATCATCATCACATTTGCGAAGATAGATTTAATCTCGAAGATAACTTTGACAGAAGATTGAGAATCAGGGCCCAATCCTGTGATGTCCATTACCCATAAAGTAGGGAGCATTAGTATTGGAATTGGGTCAACCTCCCATTGGGGGTTTTGTGCAAAATGAACAAAAACAAAATGGATATAATTTTTTTCGAAATCTTCCAACATTTATTTTATACATAGTTATCTGTTATGACTAATGACTATCTCAGATGCAAAAACCATTTTTGTTAGGTCAGGTTTTCTTGGTCTAACTGTTTTTTTATATGGTTTTCAAATTTTAACTCGGCATAAAATTTCCAAGAAAAACACTTTCCGAAGCTCAGCATAATTATTAGATAAATATTTAAAAATGAGTTATATTAAAGATTTCAGAAGTCAGTCCAATTTAAATATTATTACAAACCAACATAATTTGTTTTAAACGAGACCTATTGAATTATATCAAGTTTTAAAGTTTAAACTCATTTTTAATCCTGTGTGTTACTTTTGATAATTCTTCTTCTTGTAAGTGTACATTGTACATAATGTTTGAAGTTAAAGTATTATAAAATTTATTCTCTAAGAGCCAAAAAGTAGAATCTTTGAACTGTTATCTCAAAGAAAAACTTTTCCTTTGTGTTTGATGTCATGCATTCATGCATACACAATCTTTAAAATATTTACTACGTCAATTTTAAAAACTTGCTCCAAAAAAAATTCTTTTAGGACTAAAAAAGAATGGGAAATTTTTATAACTTGAAAAGATGAGATAAGTTAAGTAATATTTTTTCAATGCCTTTTTAAAATGAAAATTGTATAAAACGTTCCAAACGTTTCAGATATATTTAAATGTTAGTGGAATTTTTCCTGGGTCGGTCATAAACCATTTTTGAAATCTTTTAAGAACATTTTGACTTAGTTAATTATTAAAAAAATTTCATGTAAAATTACATAGTAAACTAAAACATTGTGGGGGTATTTTTATTGAATCGGAAGAAAATCAAAAATCAAAAGTTTTTAATTTTTATTAAGGCTTAGATAAAAAATCCCCCAAAGTCAGTAATTTTTACCAAAAGCATATATTTAAACGAAACTAACTTCAGTGGGAAAACAAATAATTTCTAAGAGAGGGGGGGAAAGAGTTTTCAAAAAATATATATATTTTACATAACCGACCAATGATTCCCTCCCTCCCCCAACAGATGGACGTTACTTAACGTCCCTTGGGACAATTAAGAAAAATAACGACGAGCTCCGCGAAGTTTTCGTGAAAAAATTCGCGCATTTGCATCTCAACAGACGATAAATTTGTAACTAACTACTTTTTCGGGGAATTACAATTGCCTACAAAACATTCCTCGCTGCGCCCTGGATGTCTTGGGAACCCTTGGTACAGTAAAATTCCCTTTACTTCCCTGTAAATTGTAAAGTAGTTAAAAATAATTAATATACCCCTGTAAATCTTTCAAAAAATACGTCTCTGATTAAAAACCAATATATATTTCAAAGTGAATTATTTATACAATAATACTAATTTTAATATTTTAGAAGGAGATGACTGGGATAATTGGTGGTTAACTATAGGAATATCTCTACTAACATTTGCTCTTTTTATGTCGGCTAGGATGGGCATATATCAGGTCAGATTATCTATATAAATACTTTCCTTGTCTGTCTGTTTGTATCCTATAAACGTCAAAACGGTTGAACCGATTGGGCCCAAATTTTGTGCGAAACCTCACNGGGGGGGGGGGGGGATACTTATTACTCTCGGGGAAATTTAAACTGCAGTGTATAAACATAACTTAGCATTGATTTTTTGCATGCGAACCTAAAATCATGAATATCACATGCATTTTTAGTCTTGAACGGACCTGAGCAAAAGTGCGCTCGCTTTTTGTAAAAATTACGACTTTTTAGACAATAAATCAATCTTAACTTCATTAATTGCGCTTGTATATTTATTCTAAAACTATGCACACAAATATGCGCTCAAAAAATTCACCTACAAAGCTTTATATGACGTCGCGCGCGCCAAAAAAAAATAAATATCTTTGAATACTTCTGTGCCAAGTTTGGCCCAAGTTAGAAGAAAAGTAGCATGAAAGATGCATCAAATTATAGCAAAATTGGGACAAGGAATTCATCTCTGAGGTCAAAAGAAATATTGGAACATTCTGACTGCGCGCTAGTAGCCAACCATTACATTATGGGTCATCTTAGTACAGATTTTACATGTTGTAAGTCGTTTTACAGGTAGCTGGGCACGAAGAATATATTTCTGGGCTAAAAATAGATATTGGAGCATTCTAACCGATGCGCTAGTAGCCGGCAGTTACATTATGGGTCATCTTACAACATATTTTACATGTTGTATGTCGATTTATATGTATTTGGGCACAAGGATTCCATTTCTTGGGGAAAAAAACTTTCGTAAGACCTCTCTGATCGGCGTGCTAGCAGCCAGCAGTCACCTTCTGGGTCATCCAGCCATATGCTTTCATGTAGCATGTCGATTCTAGGGTACTGGACACAAGGATTCTATTTCTTACGTAAAAAAATGAGTTTGAGAACTCTTATTGGCGCGCTGCTCGCCAGAGGGTAAATATGGGGTCAACCTATCAAACAGTGAGAACTATAAAAGAATTGTAGAAGATGACTAATAGACTTAAGTTATGGCTTAAAATATTCCAATGAACGTGAGACACAGTAATTGTTAAATGTAAACAGACCCCACTAAGTTACTAAGTTACTAGTAAAACTATTTGCTTAGTAGCAACATCAAATAAACTTAAAAATGCATTTAATATACATAATTTTAAGTTCGCATGCAAAAACCCAGCCTAAGCTTCCGATGCGCTAGTAGCCGGCAGTTACATTATGGGTCATCTTACAACATATTTTACATGTTGTATGTCGATTTATATGTATTTGGGCACAAGGATTACATTTCTTGGGGGGGAAAAAACTTTCGTAAGACCTCTCTGATCGGCGTGCTAGCAGCCAGCAGTCACCTTCTGGGTCATCCAGCCATATGTTTTCATGTAGCATGTCGATTCTAGGGTACTGGACACAAGGATTCTATTTCTTTCGTTAAGTTTGAGAACTCTTATGGGCGCGCTGCTCGCCAGAGGGTAATTAAGGGGTCAACCTATCATACAGTGATTACTAGAAAGTTCTTGTAGAAGAAGATGACTAATAGACTTATGGCTTAAAATATTCCAATGAACACTACTAGTAACACTATTTGCTTAGTAGCAACATCAAATAGACCAAAACATGCATGTAATTACATAATTTTAAGTTCGCATGCAAAAACCCAGCCTCCTACGGCAATGCTAAGTTATGTTTAAATTTCCCCGAGAGTAATACGTATCGTGCACCCCCCTCCATCCCCCTTTTAAAAATCCGAGGAAAAATATCAATAATTCTGCGAACTTTTTTGTTTTATATTGAACAAAACATTGATGCTCACAGATAGAGCCACAGTTAAAAGTTGAAGAGGAAGATAGGCGTGAACTGCTTAAAAGCCCAGTTTATCCTATTCTAGATCAGGGTCTTGTAAACTATTAATTGAATGTAATTTAATAATTCTGTCCCGGGCGGGAGTAAATCTGTCATTATTTAGCAATTACCTCAGCATTATGTAATAATTTGGGGCATTATCCATAGATACACTTTGATGGACAGGAGCGTCGACCTATGGGTTAATAAATGTTTATTACTTTTTCTTCTTATAGATTTAGAAATGATTCTGAAACAAATTTTTTATTTATTTATTATCAGGAGGTAATTTACGCTAAACATGGGAAGCATCCTAAGGAAGCGATGTTTTTTCTGCACGCCTTACCATTGCCAGGTATTTACAATTTTCAATGAAAAACACAAGGTTACAAAAAACCTTGTATTTCTGTTCATATGTTTTTTGGAATTTTCTATTTCTCTAGACGATATGTATGCTGGATAATAACAGTTTTTATTTGATTTATTGATTGAATATTGATTTTTTCTCAGGATTTCTTCTGCTTGCACCTGATATATACAAACATGCTGCGATAACAATCAATTCAACTCCATTCATTCTGCCATTTATTAATATTCAGGTAACTTTTTTGCGAAAATTTAATTTTTTTTAAACGATATAATTTTTTTAATTTCTTTTCTTAAATTGTCCCTCCAATAGCTCACACAATTTTGTCAGTAGAAAAAAATCTGAAATTTTCAGTTAATTTTAACTTATATTTGGAAAATATGTTTTTTTTGTCAATGATGATGAGTCCCTCGAAATTATTTCATGTTCTCAACATAATTTTACAGATGCCTAGTATGCTGTTGTATCTGATAGGAAATATAATTACACAGTACTTGTGTATCTCAGCTGTCTTTGTTTTAACTACAGGTATATTATTGGAACCCTTTCTTCACATTATTTCCCCAAAATTAAACCTTGACCATAATAAAAAAATTGTTATGCTATAGTCAGGAAAAGATAAATCATGGGTGTATGAATATTGAATANTCTTCCCAATTTAGCAAATCAAATCCTAAAACAATGTGGGCGCTCCGCGTAAACACCAAACTTCCGGACAAAAACAAATTAAATCAACAAAGGGATTTATGAGGGAAGTACATAGTATTTAATCCTTTTTAACATCATATTTTAATTTTTAGAGTGTGCTAGTTTAACAGTTACCCTGGTTGTTACTTTAAGAAAATTTCTGTCGCTTCTCTTCTCTATCTGGTACTTTCAGGAACTAAACTCTTACAATATTCATATTCAACTTATCTTAAAATAAAAACGTTATTTTCACAGACACAATATGGTATTATCATAATTCAATTGACCAACAATTATGAATTGCATGGGGTTAGGATCAATTTTCTTGATTACAAATGATAAATCTTTTATATAATTTAAATCACGTGGAAGTTCAAAGTACAGAAAAATTTATTTATTTTTTTATTATTTCTTGAATATTGGATTGTGTACAGAACCCCTTCACTACGTTGCACTGGGTAGGAACTGGTCTTGTGTTCGGTGGAACTATTCTCTTCTCAGGGAACCATCTTTATTTTTTATAAATCTCTTCGCTCATTTATTTTTTCGCTATAGCTAGCCAAACGGCTGAACCAAATTGGCTGCATATTTTTTAGTGACATAGGCTATAAAAAATTATGGATTTTTTAAATTTCACGGGACCCCGGGCACTGCTTATCATGATTTAAGACCAAGAACGGGTAAACGGCGGGATTAACTATGAGTAACCTGGGCAACATCGGGCAATTCAGCTATTAAACAGAAGATTTGAATTGATGAGAACATTTTCCCTCTTTTGTCCCATCGTTCCGTAGTTTTTGGATATTGTCATCATTTTCTTAAAGGTTACGGCATACGTGTCAAAAAGTAAGTTTTTAAAGTTTTGTTTCACTTTTGTTTTATAGTTAGCCATCTTTTACATCAGCACTTTCTTAAAAACTGGTTTTCCTGTGAATTGATTAAAAGTTTTGATTTCTAAATTGAAATATTTCCATCATTTTGTTTTAACACTAAACCTTGATGAAAATTAAGTGTATTTTATTATTGTTAGAATTTTCCTTTTTCTTTTGTACTTTTTTCCCTAGTTTTGTATATTTTCATCTTTATCTTGAATGCTTTGGCGTGTTAATAAGCAAACTTCTTCTAATATCAAGTTTTTTTAAAACATGTTAACCTTATTATTATCTTTCTCTTATACGCTAAACCAAGTTCACTTAAATATTTTCCTTCAACTATTATTAAAACTTTTCTTATCTTTTATCATTTTTACCGCCTTTTGACCAACATAACCGACCTATGATTCCCCTAACAGAGGGAAGATTAGTTACATAATGTCCCTTGGTGAAATAATTCGCGCATTTGCATCTCAAAAGACGATAAAATTGTATACATCGACTTTTTCGGGAAATTATAAATCATACTTAACCAATAACCATGGGTCCCTCGTCCAATTTTGCCTACAAAACATCCCTCGCTGCGCTCTGGATGTGTTGTAGGCAAAATAGGTCTGATGAATCCTTGGTAAAGTAAAATTCCCTAACTTCCCTGTAAAGTAGTTGTAGATAATTATTATATTAATAATTAAGTTTCCCGAGGGATTTACTTATTTTATTTTTTCACGTTTTTCCTTACAATATTACCATCTTTTTATCTTCGCTACATTCTCTCTTTTATGCTGAAATAATTTTTTCTATTGTCCTATTTTTACTCTTTTAAAATATTTTAAATTCTTTTTACTACATTTTTTTCAACAAAATTAAAGTTTTATCTATTAAAGTCGATAGTTTTCAGAGTCTCGTGGCAAATCTAGCCTAAGGAATATCTGACCGGTCAATCTAGTCAAGCAAACAGCTGGCCGGTCAATCTAGTTTAGGAAACAGCTGGCCGTTCAATGCAGTCTAGGCGACAGCTGGCCGGTCAATCTAGTTTAGGCGACAGATGGCCGGTCAATTTTGTCCGGGAAACTTCTGACCGGTCAATCTTCTCTTGGTGACAGCTGGCCGGTCAATCGAGTCTAGGAAACAATCGAGCATAGAAAACAGTTGGCCTGGGCAAGTAAGGCTATAAGAGGCCTGTAAACTTTACAATGTTTATTTTGCATAATATGAAAATATTGGTTAAGAAATTATTAAAAGTCGAATATTATTCAAATCAATAATTGCCATGTTATTGCCATACTTGAAAATCAACTGCAAATTTATTTTCATTTTTGTAATGCATCAAACTAGTCTCCACGCTGTTGATAACATTTAATCATTATCTGAAGTTGTTTTCTTCAAACAAAACAATAAGATGAAAGCACTTTGCTCAAACTAAATTGGCATTAAGTACCAAAAAGAATCTCTTTAATATTAGATTATTGAAGTTTTTATTTAACATATGTTTGTTTATAGTAAAAAAAATTATTTAAATGTGAAAATTTATTTGTAAATCATAACCAACGATTTCAAAATATGTTTTGGACTCTGATTTAAAAATCTTTGTATGCATATGTAATTTGTATTCCAAGTTTCAATTGTATTATTTTTGTATTGTATAATTCCTACACACACTAATGAGCTTCTTTTTGTTACAGAAAGCACAACCCCCCCTGCCTAATCATGAGTATGACAGACGCTGATGTTCAGAAGCAGATCAAGCATATGATGGCCTTCATTGAACAGGTAGCAGAACATAAACATGGGAGCGTATAATTACATTTTTGATCTCAAATGGAATTGGGATTGAAAGTACATTTTGGCCTTTAGGGCATTAAAATACACTTTTTGTGTCATTGTGAACTTTGGCAGGTTTGTTGTGTACATGTACTATACTTCGTAAATGTGTACAGTATTTGGGGTGTAAAAATATATAAATGACTGAAGTATCAGTAATCAAAATAAGAGATAAATTGTGCTAAACAGAATAATAAACACTCCCTTGCAATATACATTCTGCAGTATAGAATTCTTTCTGCAACTTCATCATACTTCCAATTGTTTACAATGATAACAAGAACACTGAACAGATAAAGAAAAAAATATTTCCTGCAATGCACCACTGTACCCTGACTTTTTTTTCTCTCTAATTAGGAAGAAAAAATGAATAATTGGGTTTAAAGTATCAGAGACACAGAGAGAAACTGTACAAACAAAGTCAAATTGTAAATTTTTTTCTCCGAAATCCTAATACTACACTTTTTAATTTAAAAGTAAATCGGAAAATCAAACATTTTTTCTTCAATTTATTCCTCATTGAGTTATGTTTGATTAAATTGCACTATTATAAAAGTTTTTATCGATACTTTCATTTTTTTAGAAATAAGAATTTTCCTTATAAACTAATTATAAATTAGGAGGCAAATGAGAAGGCAGAAGAAATCGATGCTAAGGCTGAGGAGGAGTTCAACATTGAGAAAGGTGATATATCTCTATTTTAACGAATTTGTAGTGTTTGTTTTTCTAAAGTATTGTTACTTTGTACGAAAACTATTCCACGACTGCCGTGCAGGCTTTCCAAAATGTTTCTCCTTAATACCTCTCTAGATTTTAGGGGTTTATTTTCATTTTTCAGGTACCTAACAGTAAAAAGAAGAAGAGATTAAAGTTGAAGAGAAATATTCGAAGGAAGTCTACGTTCGTACGTTATTAATAATAAGTCGCTCTCGGTTCAGAGAAATATTTATTAAAACGTAATATGTTCCACTTGTTTCTTGGTAAATCATACTTATTTGTTTATTACTTTAGGACGCCTTGTTCAACAACAGAGGCTGAAAATTATGGAATACTATGAGAGGAAGGAAAAACAGGTTAATTTTTTTTTCTTTTTTTTTCTTTGCACAACCAATTTTTAGCTTTTCAAAACATGTTTTTCGTCCTTTATACGGTCAACAAACTATAATAGGATATATTGTTTTCAATTGAGCACTTCATTTATTTTAACAAGTATTCGCTTGTAAACTGGGAGGGGGAGGGAGAGGATGGTTTCTGAAACAAACCTGTTCCATAAATTTGATTAGCCGGTTGGGTATTTATTATTCGATAACCAAGTTTAAAATTTTTTAACAGTGTTTTTAAAAGTATGTTTTTAACACTGTGTCTTTGAACAGGTTGAACTTCAAAAGAAGATTCAGTCAAGCAACATGCTTAATCAAGCCAGGCTCAAGGTAGACACATGGTTTTTTTTTCGTTTGACAAAAAAAATTTTTTTAAAAGTATTTTGTTTGAGTTCTTGTGATTTTTTTAACATTTTTAATATTGATTTTGAGGGTTATTATATCGTTAGAACTTAAAGGGTCAACCAAGACTGAAATAATTTTTAAAAATGTGGAACTAACATCAATTTTTTAAAATCGAGTTTGTAGCATCATTAACACCGAATATTATCAATATTTGAAAAGGATTCCGTTGAATTGTGCCAACAGAAAGAGATTGCAATATAGTTACTTTATTTTATTTTCTCCTTAAAGCCTCCATGCAAAGATGGCAATTCCCGATTTATAAAGGTTCCCTTAATCTGATCCAAAAATAAGGAAGAATCCCTCGTTTTTCTGACTCGGAAACCCAATTCTGTGAATGTTTCCATTATTTCTTATCAATTAAGAAATGAGCAAAGTCACTCTCGTAAAGAAACCGCAAATGAAAATAAGAAACAATAAAATTGATGTCTATTTCATACTTGATTAGGCAAAGCTTTTAATGGTACCGTTGTAAATCGGGCATTGTCCCTTTAAGGAACAATTATCAATATGTCGTGTCATCTACTATTTTTTACCTTAAAAACGCATTTTTTACAAACTGCTGCGACTTTCGAGGAACGGAATAGAGTACAGGGACCTATATGGGAATAATTAAAAACATTGTCAAATTTCAATTTAATTTTAGAGTTTAAAATCTCGTGACGATCATGTTGCATCTGTTCTGGATGAAGCTAAGTCTAAGCTGTCAGTATACACCAAGGATAAAGCAAAGTAAGTCCTTTCTTTTTGTTTTTGGAAAATATTCCTACTTCCTACACTATACACTATACAGTCCTACAATATACACTATACAGTCCTAATTAGAAAGACCCAGAATTAATTTACAATTAATAAGTCGACTTTACAATCTAATTTTACAAAAACGATTGATAAAACGACAATCACAAAGTAGCCATAGTCCTGCCATTTCTAAATTGTGGTCTGCCTTTTTTTAGCATTTAGCATTTTAGCCATTCGTGATAGTTCTGGTCACGTGATTTAAGTTTCAGATTTTCAAAATTTTTCATATATGAATTTTCGTATAATTTTAACACAGTTTTATATCAGTTTCTCGAGACAGGAACATCAGATAAAACTTTCATGGGTCGCGATCAAGAGCTAAAGTGATTAGCTTTCAGCCTATACCCCCTTTCATTTTTCCTCTACTGTCCCTTTAAATAAAATTTGTTTCCTCGTACATTTCAAATACTAGCAAATATTTTCTTAGTTTAAAGTTATTACTGCAGTCTGACGTTTGGACCAGTTCGAAGTTTGTACCATAACCACTGACCAGTCCGGTGGTTGTGAGTCTGATGTTTATACCGCCCGAAGTTTGATCTGTGCATTAACACCGTGCAGGCACTATAAACCACAATAAATAAAGAGTAAATTCATGACTTTATCTTAGCTATTTCTTAGTGTAGTTTCTTTGTCCGGCTAAAAATTAAAAATGTCGTGTTTCATTTTTGTCTTTGGGTCAAAAATGAACTTTAAAATGACTTGTCTTCAAAACTAGATATCCACTGAAAACGGAAAATATGCTTGATCTTTGTTTGATTTTGAAAGCTGCCTGGGAATGGAAATGGCTCTAGTCTGCCATGAGAAAGCCAGCTGCAATGCTTTGCAGACCGGTTACTTATTTTAAGCGCATGCGCCCGAAACACTCAGCTATTAAGTCAAGGAAGGTGTAGAACAATGTCGTCAATTATCGTTAGCTTAAATCACAAATAGTTAATTATAAAATTTTAATCAAATTATATTCTTTGCATCCAAATTTCGCTTATAGCGTTGACTTAAATATATATATAATATTTATTCATGGAAAACAATTAACATACACAAATGTACTCTCTTAGACTGTTTAAATGCCGAGATTCTTCTGTACTGTATATACCTACAGTACATACATCTATTAGGTTCCTTATTTTATCCTTAACATCAACTCTTTTGGTATATGAACACACACTTAGACGTTTCCGGCCCCTGATAGCTGCTTAATCCTGAGATATACTACACACATTTTTTCATTCCATCTGCTTTTTAAAATCGAATTCGTGCTTTTGCCAAAAAAAAAATTTTTGATAAAGACCTTGTCTCTCTACAAGAGTTAATTTATCAATAAAAATGTGTTCAGGTATACAAATATCCTGCAGGCTCTGTTGACCCAGGGGCTCTGTCAGATGCTGGAAACCCAGGTATTAAACATTACATCATGGGTGTATATTTTCTCGGAACATAATTCCCCCCCTTTTGAAAATAATTTTTGCCCCCAGAAGTCATGTATGTATGCGCTGAGAAGATGTCGATTTTTTTTCTCGATCATCAGACCTATCAAATTGTACAAAAAATCTGATCATTTTATGTTTTTCCTTGACCAAATATTGAGAAATATATGCAAAAAGCCCATTTAAGTTTCACCCATAGTCAGGTTTAGAGATGGAGTTTTCAAAACATATATAAATCTTACAATCATGATAAACAGATTTGGTAATTTGTTTAGTAAATGCTCCTGTTGGGTTTTTGCTATTTTCAACTAAACCGAAGATTATGGCCCTTTCATTTGGTCAAGGAAACACATAAAATGATTAGATTTTTGTACAATTTGAAAAATCTTTACAGACCTAATATTTGAGTATTGTGGAATAATCTAAATCTTCTGTCTAATTTTTGGTGACCCAACATTTTTAGTTTTATCCGGTTTTCCCGTAATAGTAATGTAATAAATATAAATCGTTCCTCGTAATTTTTAAGAAAATTATTTCCGTGTAATTGAATTTAAATCTGAAGAACGATTGAGAACAGTAATCCATGGAAGTTGTAAAATTTGAAAACTAAGACTAAAGAAAGATAAATTCATGTAAATTGTAAACATCAAATATAAATATAAATATATTTTCTTATGAAAATGCTTTTAATATTTGAAAAACTAAAGCTAAAAATTGAATTCTAGGTTTTCTTTAAAGATTCCGGCAGGTTAACAAAACATAATATTTGTACGGTTCAAAAAATTGTCTAAAACTGGTTATATAAACCATAAATATAAAATTCCTAAAATGGAATTTTTATCTTAATTCATCAGTATAGATGTTGAAGATTTAAAAATAAAAGCTTTACAAGGTGAGAATCTTGTCACAAAAAATACATTTAATTATAGAGAAGGCAATCACTGCACTTATGATCTTATTTTAGTTAACTGAATCCTGTCTATTCACAATCACATCCATTATAAAAGTACTAAATGTTAAGGATTTGCAATTTTAAGCCAACTGAACTTCAAACCTTTTCATAAAAATCGTATATATAATGTTTTTCTGAAGAAAATAATTTTTTTTTTGCTTTTTCTTTTCTTTTTCTTTTCAAAAGAAAATAATTACTTTTTCTGCTTATTCTTTTCTCTATTAATTTTTTTGCTTCATTTTTGCAAAGATAAAAAATGTTTAAATCTTTATTGATAAAATCATGCGAGATGTTTCTTGCTTTTCTGTTCTGTAGAAATTTAAAGAAAAGCTACGCCCTTTTTAATTTTTATATACCGAAGATTCATAACATTGCGTCTTAGATGAAGATATGAATTGTGTTGTTTTGATTCTGATGAAACACTTTTTACTTTAAAGACAAATATACAGATAAATCGTTATCCCGCCTTCATTGCTCGATGATTTTTCACCGAATTTTAATTTATAATCAACAAATTGTAAAATTGCTTATAAAGTAACCCCCCCCCCCCTTCCAAGTCAGGCACACAAATTAAGAACATTTTCCTCGCCTTGGAAATATTTTTCTGATAAATTAAATGATATTTTTTTTTCATTAAAACACCGATCACAAAGCTTTTAGTCCATATCTCTTTCCTGATTTAATGAATTGGGCATTATATTGATTGATTGATAGATTGATGGATTGATTGATTGATTGATTGATTGATTGATTGATTGAAGGTTTTCATCCGATGCCGTGAGGCTGACCAGCCGTTGGTGGAAGGTGTTATACCTGCTGCACAGGCAGAATACAAGTCTAAGGTTGGGAAGGATTGCACTGTTCGTCTGGACACGGAGAATTGGTTAAACAAGGATTGGTAAGATTATTGTGTTAGGTCTAGACCTTAAAAGGACTACTTCAAGAGACTCTCAATGCGGGATTTACAACTGTATCCGTAAACATATATGTGTTCGTCCGGTACAGAGATATATGTAAACTTATTAAAACCAGTTTTTATTCAGCTGCAAATTCAAGTGTTAAGTAACGTACAGTCTCTTTGTATGGAGGGGCACTTGAAATTACGCATAACAGTCCTTTAACCCCATATGAAATTTTCAAGAAAATAGATTAAAGAGGAAAAATCATTTTCTAAGAAAATCAGAGATTCTAATGTTTTCATTTTAAAAGAAATCTTGGATATAATATCTCGTAATTATCATAATTTTACTAAATCTTGGATATAATATCTCGTAATTATCATAATTTTACTAAATCTTGGTTGCTTATGAATTTGAAATTGTTTAGTATTGGTGGTCTGGAAATCCTGGCGATGAAGGGTAAGATTAAAGTTGACAACACTCTGGAGGCAAGACTAGGTAACAAGAATTTTTAGAAAACTCGGCTTTCAGGGCGCTTCACACCCATTTTCTATTACAACTTTTAATTGTGGTTCTGCCCGTGAGCCTCTGTACAGTACATTATTCCAAAAACAAAAAAGTTTTCAGATTCAATTATATTTTTTCATGCATTTTCAAAATTTTACTAAAATTTAAAAATTTGGAGACAAAATTTTTAAAATTCTAAGCATTCATCTGGGGTCATGTGAGGCCCCACAAAAAATGTATGCCCAATCGGTTCACCCGTTTTTGCGTCTTATGGATACAAACAAACTATCAAACAGACAGATATACAACTTAGAAGGAAAGTATACAGATAGATACCAAAATAAAATTAATTTGGGTTACTCTAGATTTTTATAATCAAAAAAAGGACAACAGAGGTCGAACTGAAAGAATTTGAAACTGGTTCCAATTGAGCGCCAGCTCAAATCTCGAAACACTTATTAAAATTTCCAGCTGAACCAACCATGTTTGAACCCCGTGTAGATGCGGTTCAAATTCTTGAAAGTCTGTCTCAGATGTAACATATTTATTCGAATTCATTCAAATAGTGTTTTCAAACGATTAAGGTTTTAATCTTGATTATTCAATATCGCAATTTTGCCTTTTTATATCTTATTTTTTTTAGGAATGATTTCTGAGCAGATTCTTCCCAGTATTCGTGGAGCACTTTTCGGGCCAAACCCTAACAGGTTACATTAGTTAATAAAGGATTAATTCAGATTGCTTTTTCACATTGGTGATATTTTCTCAAAATACTCCTCCCCCCCCCACACTCCTCTCTCCCTTTTGAAAATCTTTTTTTTTAGTAGTTATAAATGCCTGTTAAATTCGTTTTGTGTTCTATTTTGAGAATTGGGGAAAATAAATAAATTTTTGGTTTAAATGAAATGAAAAGTTGCCTATTGATGTCCGATTTTTCATTTTTTGGGTAATTCGGAATAAAAAAATTACTGGCTTTCCTCTTAGATTAAATGTTTTAAATTGGTTCAGCAGTTCCTAATTTTTTTTGTACAACAATGGTAGGCGCTTATACTAAAACAATGAAGACGACTTTTGATTTCAAATTTGATTTTTGACAAGCTGTTAAACAGAATGGACACACAAACATTCAAGTCAAGAAAACCTGTCAATTAAAAAAGCTTCTCATTATTTTCTCGTAAACTTTTAATTTGAAAAAAGCCTGGTAACCATCAACTTAAATAACAGTCGTCTTCATTGTATTGATACAACCACTGTGTAAAATTCCAGAAGAAATTCTGCGGCCGTACATTTTTCGGAATGTATAAATTAAACAAAATATTTCAGGAAGTTTACCGATTAAATGAACAACGATCTCTGCTGAAATCTGTTTAACTTCCGCTTTACCCAATGTTCTTTATGCTTCATAACTGATTTGTGTAATTGTGTTTTATCAACGTCATTTTTCTTGTTGCATTTCATCCCTGTATTCTAGATGGGTTCAAGAATACATTGTATTTATTTAAATTTCTAGATCTGGTGTCAATAGGTTAGATTTTATTTATTGCATATGTGAATTATTATCAATTGTCGAAATAAATGATTTTAATTATTCTTGCACTTTTTTAAAATTTTTATCTTTGTGGTTTCCCCTCGTACTGGACGGTGAAATGTTGAAAAGGGAGTTATTAAGGAAAATTACCAGCTGTTTCTGAACTAAAATTCAGGAAGTGTAGCGTTAGAATAAATTAAGTTTGGTTTTCAAGAAAGATCGATACGGTTAATGAATATTCTCGGTAAGAGTGCTGTACATATGTATAGGATAAGTTAAGACATTTTAAAAGATTGTAATGTGTACAGTGTGTCCCACGAAACATGACAGTTGGCGAATAGTTTAAAATGTCTGCATCCGGAATTTTTAAGATTTTGATACCAAAGAGAATAATGAAAAATATACGTCCGTAATATCATAGTAGAATATATTTGAGTTAAGGAGATTTATAAAGCAATAAATTACAAAAACTCTTGTTTATTTAATACAGAATATGAAGGAAATATTCAAAACTATTCACCCTGTAGATACTGAATAGAAATAATGACCCTTGAGCTGAGCATGTATTTGATTCTTGAAAGTGTTTGGTACCTAGAAAGGGTAATGAATCGTTTTCTTCAACCATCGTTTCGTTTTTTGAAAAAAAACTCGTTTTTGTAAACGAATTTGCTAAAAACAAAAACGATTGTTTTTCAAACAAAAAAATTCGGGAGTATCGGAGTTTTTGACAATTAATTTTAACTTTTTTGCAGGAAAATAAGGTTGAGAATGTTGTCTTATATTTTTTAAATTGAGATAAAATAACCTGAATGTTTTCTGACCTCGGATTTTTCAACCAAAAAATGTATTTTCTCTTTAAAAGGTCGTCATTAATGGTTGTTATGTAAGGGTCGTTGTTTCTAAAACAATCGTTTATAAAACGATTGTTTCGTTTTTTCTTCGTCGTTTATAAAACAAATCGATCGTTTTACAAGAAAATGGGAACGATCCATTTACCCAGAGAATAGAAAGTATGAAAACTCGAAAATTATCGAGATCAATTTCTTAGTCTTCCTGCCATAGGTCGTATCTATCTATCTGCAGCACTCTTGCTGAGCGTAACTATAGTGTGACTATAATTGTACCCAAACAGATTATCAAGTACAATAGATGGCAACGTAAAATTTGTGCACTCGGTGACGTTTTCATCTTTTAGAAAAACGATCGTTTCGTTATGAAAACGACGACGAAAAATCAAAAACTAAACGATCGTTTTTTTGAAAGTTCGTTTTTCAAAAATGGTCGTTTTTAAAACATTCGTTTTGAAAAACGACGACCCTTCAAGTTGCATGTATTTTTTTTTCTCAAAAACGATCGTTATTCCAAAAACGACCGTTTTTATAAATTTCTTCGTTTCGTCAACGATTGTAAATGACAACCCTTCGTTAACGATCGTTAGCATAATTATCAATAAAACTTTATTATAAAAGCGATCGTTATTCATTTTCTAAAAGTTCAAAAAGAGTGGGTCGGTTTTAAAACGATCGTCTTTGAAAACAATTGAAAAACGAAGCTAAAAACGATCGTTTTCAAAAACGATTAACAACCCTGATCTTAGTACAGCTGATGTCTTACGTCACAAGTGTCAAAAGTTTTATGTGTCCGACAAAATTATCAATAATAGTTATTTATTTCAGTGCTTATCTTTAATCTATTCGGTTGTACCTATAATAGGGTTGTTAATCGATATTAAAAACGATCATCTTGTTTTTTAAAAAATGATGGGTCACAACGAACGAACCAATTCGTTTTAACTTAATAAAGTTCGTTTAAACTTAATAAAAGCATTCGTTGTTGAAAATTTTTTCGCTAATGAATCTGAAATATATGACAATTCATTTCAATTTTTTTTCAGGAAGATAATTTTATTAATGTTTTCCGAAATTGTTATTTTTATCAAGAGAAATATTAATAACCTGAATGTTTCCTGATCTAAGGGTTTTCTGACCAAAAAATATATTTTGTCGAAGGTCAGGGAATCATGCTACATCCAGAAATTTAACCTAAGGCCGAATTTAAAGAATTTGAGCGGCGGCTTAAATTTAAGCCGTCGCTAAAATATATTTGGTTTCACTTAAAATTGTATTTAATGTTTCAAGATTTAAGTCGGCGCTCAATTGAAACCGGTTTTTGGCGGATTTTAGACGCGGCTTAAATTCATTAAATTCGGACACTAGTTAAATCAGGACTCAACAAGAAAACATAATGCTAGTTGCTATCTTTTTTTTTTAAAAAAATGAAATATGTTTGTTTAAGCTGTATTTTTATTGTTTATGTATTATCACCAGTACCTTAGTGTTGATCGAATT